TGATGGACAGGGAGGCCTGGCATGCTGCAGTCCACGGGGTTGCAGAGTCGGACATGACTGAGAGACTGAACTGATGGCTATAAAACAGCTTTTTTACAAAATGGCCTTATTCATGTATGTGTGCATATGTATCCACATTTGTATTTAAAACATTTATCAAGAAAATATTTTTTTAAAGAATAAAAAATTTTAATTCACATTCCTGTAAGGCAACACTTAATTTCCAATTCTTCTCCACATGTAAATTTCTTCATATAATTGTAGAAAGTTTTAATTTGGTCTTAAATTTTTAAAAATTTTAAATTATGTTGTAAACATTGTAAACGATAACATTTACTTTTTTTTTTTTTTTTTAAAAGCATTTATTTGGCTGTATCCAATCTTAGTTGCAGCACACAGGATCTCTGATCTTCAATCTTCATTGTGGCAGGCAGGTTCTTTTTTTTCAGTTGTGGCCTGTGGGATCTAGTTCCCTGACCAGGAATCAAACCCCAGCCACCTGCATTAGGTCAGGGTTACATGGACCATCCTATTTATTATTAATGGTTGTCTGAGGAGGCCTTGCAAATAGCTGAGAAAAGAAGAGAAGCGAAAGGCAAAGGAGAAAAGGAAAGTATACCCATCTGAATGCAGAGTTCCAAAGAAAAAGAAGGAGAGATAAGAAAGCCTTCCTAAGTGAACAATGCAAAGAAATAGAGGAAAACAATAGAATGGGAAAGACTAGCGATCTCTTCAAGAAAACCAGATACCAAGGGAGCATTTCATGCAAAGATGGGCTCAATAAAGGACAGAAATGGTATGAACCTAACAGAAGAAAAGATACTAAGAAGAGGTGGGAAGAACACACAGAAAGTGAAAAGTGAAAGTAAAAGTTGCTTAGTTGTGTCTGACTCTTTGTGACCCCATGGACTGTAGTCCATGGAATTCTCCAGGCCAGAATACTGGAGTGGGTAGCCTTTCCCTTCTCCAGGGGATCTTCCCAACCCAGGGAGCCAACCCAGATCTCCCGTATTTCAGGCGGATTCTATACCATTGAGCCACTTGGGAAGCAGAAGAACTATACAAAAAAAATCTTAATGATTCACATAACCATGATAGTGTGACCATTCACCTAGACCCAGACATTTTGGAGTATGAAGTCAAGTGGGCCTTAGGAAGCATCACTATGAACAAAGCTAGAGGAGGTGATGGAATTCCAGCTGGGCTATTTCAGATCCTAAAAGATGATGCTGTTAAAGTGCTTCAATCAATATGCCAGCAAATTTGGAAAACTCAGCAGTGGCTGCAGGACTGGAAAATGTCAGTTTTCATTCCAATCCCAAAGAAGGGCAGTGCCAAAGAATGTTCAAACTACTGCACAACTGCACTCAATTCACATGCTATTTATTATTAAATAATCCCTATTTATTATTACTGATTTTTTTTTCAAAAAATTTAAAAAGTCTTTACTGATTTTGTTACAGTATTGATTCTGTTTTATGTTTTGGCCCTTTTGCCATGAAGCATGTGGGATCTTAGCTTCCTGACCAGGAATCAAACCTGCACCTCCTGCATTGGAAGGTGAAGCCTTAGCCACTAGACCACCAGGGAAACCCCCTATTTATTATTATTATCTTTCGGCTCCACCTCAGAGCTTGTGGGTTATTAGTTTCTTGACCAGGGATTGAACCCAGGCCCTAGGCAGTAAAATTGCAGAGTCTCAACCACTGGACCACCAAAGAATTTCCAAGATAACTTTTTTCCAATTATGCGAGTAATAATACCCATTCTTGTCAGTATATTTTTCTACATAAATAGTGATAGCTTTTATTATGTTTTTTATAAAATTGAGAAAATGTTTTTACTTAAACTTTACTGTGGACTTCCCTGTTGGTCCAGTGGTTAAGAAGCAGCCTGCAAATGCAGAGGACAGGGGTTCCATCCCTGGTCAGGGAAGATACCATATGCCGAAGGGCAACTAAGCCCAGTTTCAGAAAGCTGAAACTACTGAGCCCATGCACAACTACTGAAGACTGGGGTGCTCTAGAGTCGGTGCTGTGCAACAAGAGAAACCACCGCAAAGAGAAGTCTGTGCAAAGCAACTATAATAGAGTAGCCCCTGCTTGCCACAAGACATAGGGCAGCGAAAAATTAAATAAATAAATAAAAATTAAAAATAAATAAGACTTTACTGAATTTTATCTTTATAAACATTAGCTATAATTACCTTTTCCATGAGTGCGTGTGTGCTCAGTTGTGTCAGACTGTGACTCCATGGGCTGTAGCGAGCCAGGCTCCTCTGTCTATGGGATTCTCCAGGCAAGAGTGTGTTGCCATTTCCTTTTCCAGGGGATCTTCCGGACCCTGGGATTGAATCAGCGTCTACCTGCATTGGCAGGTGGATTCTTTAACACTGAGTCACCTAGGAAATCTTATCTGCTACCTTTTAATTACCTCTAATGGCTGCATAATCCTTCTCTAACTGTGAGACATTTCTTACTTCCCTTTTTTGGTGGCTATTCAAACCTCTCTTATTTCCTGGAAGTGAATTTATGTGAGGAAAAAGAAGGACTTCCCTTCCAGTTGTTAACACTTTGCATTCCAATGCAGGGGGTGCAGGTTTGATCCCTCGTCAGGGAGCTGTGATTCTGCATGCCTTATGACCAAAATACCAAAACATAAAACAAAAGCAACATTGTAACAAATTCAATGAAGACTTTTAAAATGGTTCACATAAAAAAAAAGTTAAAAAATATTTCTTGACTTTTCCATGTTCTTATCAGTCTTTGTAATTCTTCTGAATAGGTGAATATTTCATTGATATTAACTATACTTACTAAGCTGTTTCTCTCTTCCTGTGGTTGAATATCTATGCCAGTAGCTCTTAAAAGTGGTGATTTTGCCCCCAGGGGACACTAGGAATATCTAGAGACTTTTTTTTCCCTTCCAGTTTTATTGAGACAATTGACACAATAGCACTATACAGAATAATGACTTGACTTACATGTATCATGAAATGAGGACCCCAGTAGGTTTACTGAACATCTGTCATAAACATACAAAATTAAAGAAATATAAATTATTTTTCTTGTGATGAGAACTCTTAGGATTTATTTTCATAACAACTTTCACATGTAACATACAGCAGTGTTAATTACATTTATCATGTTGTACATAACTGGAATTTTGTATCTTTTGACTGTCTTCATCCAGTCCTCACATCTCCATTTTCTAGAGACATTTTTGGTTGTCATAACTGTCAAAGGGTATTATTGGCATCTACTGAATAGAGGTTAGAGATTCTACTCAACAGCCTGCAGTGAACAGGACAGCTCTGTTTTGTCACTCAAGTTACTTTTTTTCTCAGGTCTTCTGAGGCTGATTTTTCCTTCTGGTCTTTCATGTTTACCAGAATAATTTTTTTTTTTTTTAATTTTGTCTTATATTGGAGTACAATAGATTAACGGCCTTCCCCTGGTGGCTCATTGGTAAAGATTCCACCTGCAATGCAGGAGATGCAAAAGGCGCAGATTCCACCTTGGGTTGGGAAGATCCCCCTGGAGAAGGAAATGGCAACATTCCTCCAGTATTCTTGCCTGGGAACTCCCTTGGATAGAGGTGCCTGGCAGGCTACAGTCCAGAGGGTTGCAAAGAGTTGGACATGACTGAGCAACTGTACACACACAGTTGATTAGCAATGTGTTACTTTCAGGCGTACAAAGTGATTCAGTAGCAAAGTGATTCAGTTATATGTATACATGTATCTATTCCTTTTCAAATTCTTTTCAGAAAAATTTTTTTCTGGAGGAAGTTAGACATGATTTCTATCAATGTCTTTTTAAGCTTGGCTTTAACTTCACTTCTGATGCTTTAAAAATTTTGAATAGTCAGAGCAGCTTTAATAGCCAGCTTTTAAAAACTGATTTATCTGCTACTGAGAGTTTATTTTACATTTGGAAACTATTAGGCCTCTTTTCACCCACTAGAAAATGGATATGACTTTGTAATTTCTCATACCACACCAATGGTGTCAAAAACACTCAGATCAGAGAAACTTTGTGAAACATTTGGAAAATGCAGCAAGACATAGATGGTAGAACAGTGTGGAATTTTGTGTGAAACTACATTAAATTTCATCCTATGTATCTCTGAAATACAGATTTGAGTAAAATTGTAATACCCACAGGATTTTTCTCCCTTTACTAAAAAGGGTATACCTCAAAAGAATAAACTATTGAGGTGACAGGGTTTTCCTAACATTCCAAGTCATCTTATTTCTACTATTCAAATAGGTCGTTGAGAATCATCTCAGTGAAGGAAGTGCTTCCCCAAGTAAATTACTGAAAATTTGTCTTATTTTCCTATCAAATTTCTTTTCTAGATAAGAGCTGTTACATTTTCAGGCACCATTTCCAAAGGTTTAAGATATCGAATTAGCTCCAGCTTGTTAAAAAAACAAACAAAAATTCTCTTATTTGGGAATTTAGAACCAGTAATATTCTCTTCTTTGTATGGGTATGCATTTGTAAATATGGCACTCACAACATAAATAACTCCTTTAGGTCACCGAATAACTTTTGAGGTTTTCTATAAGACGACCTGGGATTCGAATTCCCTGATTGGATTTTTTTCCCCTGCTTTTCTTTGGTGAGATAACAAATCAGTTGTTCAGTCGTTAAGCCGCGTTCGACTCTTGCGACTCCATGAACTGTAGTCCGCCAGGCTCCTCTGTCCACGGGATTTTCCCAGGCAAGAGTATTGGAGAGGGTTGCCATTTTCTTCTGTAGGGGATCTTTCCCACCCAGGGCTCGAACCCGCGTCTCGGGATTCTTAACCGCTGAGCCACCTGGAAAGCCCATAACAAACCAGTATTTGTGTTCCACTCAGCCCAGGGGTCTCCATTTCCCAGCTGTTTCAGCTGCATCAATCTCGTCCCCCCCATGCCTCTGGAGCCTTTTGGGGTAGGGGCTGGCGACGAATACCTTCCTACACAAGCCCGATGGACCAACGGGGCTCCTGCCATGGAAAAAGCCGCGGCGCCGACAACGGGAGCCTGCAGACCGAGGCGCGGGGAGGAGACAGGCTCGGCAGAGGTGGTGAGCTCGCTCCCGCCGGGGCCAAGCCAAGCGCTCGAGCTCGGCCGCGCACGCGCAGCCTCCTTCCCGCCGCTCCCGCCGTCTCCGGGGGGGGCTTCTCTCCGCCCGGCTCAGGGGTGTCCGCGGCGGCGCCGGATCTGGCGAAAGCGGTCCCGGGAGGACAGGCCGCCCCTGGCCCTGCCTTCCCCGTTCGTGTGGTCGAGGCCAGAAGGAGGGGCGCGTGCGGAGCGCCGCAGAGCGGGTGGCCGTGGCTCCGAGGAGAAGCCCCCGCCGCGTCTGGGCCTGCAGGCAGTGCGGGAGGCGCTCACGCGCGGGGTCCTCTCTCGCAGCCGGCCCTGAGCCGGAGCCCTGAGGCGCGAGCCTTGGCGGCCCTGCGAGTTCCCGGCGGCTGTGGTACGGCGCTATGGAGGAGTTCGACGGCGAGCCGACGGTCACTGTAAGGGGGCCCCGAACAGTACGCTTTCCTCCCGGGGCCCGGAGATTGGGTCCGCCTCGTCCCTGCTGCGGGCGAGGTGCCCGGCCCCTTCTCTCAGCACAGTTGCCCCCCGCTCGGTTGTCGCATTAATTCGCTCCCCGCGTGTGGGCCACGGTGGTCGCTGGGTTTCTGCTTCCTTGTGTATTCTGAGGAATACCTGGCCCTGGAGACCCCGCCCCCCCACCCCCTCAACTCTGTTCCTTTCCGTCCCTTGCCTCCCCGACCTCCCTGCTTCTCTGGCTTTTCCTCTTGGGCTAAAGCCCGCTTAATGAGCGGGCTGGAGCCAGGCGGAGGTATCGTACGGCTTTTTTTCTCCCAGCCGAGCAAAGCTTCACGTCGCAGCCCCGTGAGCTTGGCTTCTGCTTGAGCTGGCCCAAGGTTGACCAAGTGTAGTTCTCTCGAGAGACTGCTGTTCAGTCCCCGGTCGTGTCCGACTCTTTGCGACCCCATGGGTTGCAGCACGCCAGGCCTCCCTGTCCCTCACCACCTCGAGGAGTTTGCTTAAGTTCAGGTTCATTCCATGAGTGATGCCGTACCGTCATCTCATCCTCTGACGCCCTCCGCTCCTCTTGCCCTCGATCTTTCCCAGCATCAGGGACTTTGCCAAGTGAGTCGTCTGTTCTCATCAGATGACCAAAATACTGGAGTTTCAGCAGCAGTCGCTCCAGTGAGTATTCAGGGTTGACCTCCCTTAAGATTGACTGGTGTGATCTCCTTGCTGTCCAGGAGACTTTCAGGAGTCTTCTCCAGCACCACAGTTCGAAGGCATCAATTCTTTGGCGTTCTGCCTTCTTTACAGGTCCAGCTCTCACAACTGTACATGACCACTGGGGAGACCATAGCGCTGACCATACAAACCTTTGTTGGCAATGCCTCTGCTTTTCAACTCACTGTCTAGGTTTGTCATCACTTTCCTGTCAAGAAGCAATTGTCTTCTGATTTCATGGCTGCAGTTACCATCTGCAGTGATTTTGGAGCCCAAGAGGAAATCTGTCATTACTTCCACCTTTTCCCCTTCTACTTGCCATGCAGTAATGGGGCCAGTTGCCATGATCTTAGTTTTTTTTAATATTTAGCCTTAAGCCGACTCTTTCACTCTTTTCTTTCACACTCATCAAGAGGCTCTTTAGTTCCTCTTCACTTTCTGCCATTAGGGTGGTATCATCCGCATATCTAGGTCTGTTGATGTTTCTCCCACTTATCTTTATTCTGGCTTTTCTACCCATCCTGGCATTTCTTATGATGTGCTCAGCATATAGATTAAACAAACAGTGACAGCAGAGAGCCCTGTCATACTCCTTTCTTGATCTTAAACCGATCAGTTTTTACATACAGGGTTCTAACTTTGCTGCTTTGCTATTTAGCAGGGCTTACAGGTTACCAAGAGCTAAGAGATGTAGAACAAGCCTAAGTGGACAGATGGATATATTTCCCAGTCAGGGAATATTTCTCAGGAGACAGGTGAGATGGTCTGGTATTCCCATCTCTCTAAGAGCTTTCCACAGGTTGTCATGATCCACACAAAGGCTTTAGCGTAGTCGATGAAGCAGAGATAGATGTTTTTCTGAAATTCCCTTGCTTTCTGTATCATCCAGCGAATGTTGGCAATTTGATCTCTAGTTCCTCTTTCTTTTCTAAGCCCAGCTTGAACATCTGAAAGTTCTTGGTTCGCATAATGCTGCAGCCTAGCATGCAAGATTTTAAGCATGACCTTAACTAGCATAGGAGATGAGTACAATTGTCCGATGGTTAGCACATTCTTTGGTACTACCCTTCTTGGGAATTGGGATGAAGGTTGACCTTTTCCAGTCCTGTGGCCACTGCTGGGACTTCCAGACTTGCTGACATAATGAATGCAAAACCTTGATGGTGCCCTCCTTTAGGGGTTTGAGTAGTTTTGGAATTCCATCACATCCACTGGCTTTATTAACAGCAGTGCTTCTCTTAAGGCCCACTTGACTTTGCATTCCAGAACGTCTGGCTCTGGTGACTAACCACACCACTGTAATAATCCGGTTCATTGAGATCTTTTTTATACAGTTCTTCCATGTATTCTTTCTATCTCTTCTTGATCTTCTCAGCATCTACTAGGTCTCGGGAGACTATTCCTGCTTTTTCATTGCTCTGTTTGCTTTCACGTCTGTTTGAACTCTCAGGAGAGTATGTCAGATGTGGATGATATATGATGCTTAGAAGGAGATTCATGGCTGTTAGAGGAGGGATACCTACCCTTCCCCCTGTCTGGGATGCTCTTCTCTCTTAGGTTTCTATCCCACTCATTTTTTTTACGTACAAGCTCCAGCAGCCTCTTTGTCAGAAAAGCTCTCCCTGACTTCCCTGACTAGAAAATATTTCCATCTGTCTATTTAGGCTTGTTCTGCATCTCTTAGCTCTTGGTAACTTGTAAGCCCTGCTAAACAGCAAGCTGCCTGACCTTATATTTTTGCTTTTTAGAAAGTTGAGATGCCTTCAGCTTTCTGCTGAAGCCATCATATTGCAAAGCAGTGTCTCACAAAACCAAAAACTGAAAATAGAAAAAAACAAAAACTGAAAATAGAAGTCAATTCAAAGCTAACTGGACAAGAGACATGAGATCTCAAACAGCAGTGAACGTGGGATGTTATTTTCTATAAACCTTACTGCTATATCCTATAGAGTGTTAATTTTTAATGCATATGTGAAGCACTTTAAATGCCATATCCATCAAGGACTGTGTCACTTTTTTGGGAGGAAAAATAGACTATTGGAATCACTGGGACTTTTTCAGACTACATGTTATCTTACTTTTCCCTCCTTCGCTTATGTCAGAATCTTTGGGTGGGGATACTTTCCCAGTACTCTGTGCGACCCTGGAGAGCTACTTGCTATTGAATCATGACAATGAGTCATGCATTTACAAATGGAATGAAAATGATCTAAGCTGAATTTTGCCCCCAGTAGTGATGATTGATTTGTGACAACCCAGCTTTACATTGGTGTTGGGAAGACCAGGTAGGAAGACTCGGTTGGCCTTGTGGACACAGCCTCTCAGAAGGGCATCATCCATAGTTTAGAATCTGAACCTCAGCAATGAAAGTTTGAATTCAGTCATGTCTGTATTTGAGATTAGTCTGCTCTTTGAGCTTGCTCTATACACACTCTCAAGAAGCTAATGAATAACCTTGAAGACTATTGTCACTTTTTATAGCAGGGTGAATATATAAAGGCTTGTGAAGGCCAGTTAGTAATTAGCAGATTCAGGAATGTTTCAGTGTAGATCCAAAGAGATTAATCTTGAGTAGTTTTTCTAGACCAGTGGTATTATCTTTTTAGGTCAAGGACTCTTAAGAAATGTGTTACAGTTCTTGTCTTTTTTTTTTTAAGGGCTTCCCTGGTGGCTCAGCTGGTAAAGAATCTGCCTGCAATGTGGGAGACCTGGGTTGGGAAGATCCCCTGGAGAAGGGAGCAGCTACCCACTCTAGTATTCTGGCCTGGAGAATTCCATGGACTGTATAGTCCATGGGTCACAAAGAGTTGGACACGACTGAGCAGCTTTCACTTCACTTCACTTATTTTTTGGTTCTTTCCAGATAACTACCTAGAAGTGGAATTGCTGGGGTATAGAAGAGATGCATGTACTCAGTTGTGCCTGACTGTTTGCGACCCCATGGACTGTAGCCCTCCAGGCTCCTCTGTCCATGGGATTTTCCAGGAAAGAATAATGGAGTGGGTTGCCATTTCCTTCTCCAGGGGATCTTCCCCACCCAGGGATCAAACCTGTGTCTCCTTCATTGGCAGGCGGATTCTTTACCACTAGCGTGACCTCAATGGGTCATGAGGGAAGGCGGAGGATTACAAGGGTTGCTCCTGACAGTTGGGGAAGGCTTTGTCCTACTGCGGGAGTGGAATGAGGTTTGGGAATGAGCATCAGAAGTCCCTGTTTTGGAACTTCCCTGGTGGTTCAGTGGGTGAGAATCCACCTGCCAATGCAGGGGACACAGATTCAGTCCTTGTTCCGGGCAGATTTCACATGCCGCGGGGCAGCTAAGCCCATGCACTCTAGGGCCTGTGCTCCACAACTGGAGAAGCCACCACAGTGAGAAGCCGCGTACCGCACCTCCAGAAAGCCCATGTGCAGTCATAAATTAAGTTCCTGTTTTGGCTCTTGATGTTATGGATATAGCTCTGGAGGTTAGAAAACTCATAAAGGGTGGATTATGCAGTTGCATTTATGAAGCTTGGACTCAGAGGGATTGGTGTGACTGAGTTGGAGAAAAAAATTAAGCGCCATTAAAGATGTAACATAGGAAAAAAAAAAAAGATGTAACATAGAGGCCATGGGATTGGAGGTCTTTTTAGTGAGTAACAGCAGTTCAATTCCTGTTTAATTTTTTTAACTGCCCTTTTTCTGAACTACAGATCACTGAATTACCATATAATAACTGATTAGGGGGTAGCTTTCCTTTTTATCAGCACTTGAGAAGTGGCAGGGTGGGTTCAGGTGCCTAACAAACTCTCTTGCTTATTTAGGGTCTAACAGACTGGGCTTATCTCAGCCACACTCAGTTGTATTTATAGATTAGCACTTGATAACTTTCACGACCACTGCTTACTAGGATTATACTTGCAAGTCAATTGAAAGCAAAGCCTTTAGGAAGAATAACAATTTCTGTGCCTTATGTTTTTTTTTTTTTACTAGTGGATTCCAGGAGTGAATTCCCAGAAGAAGCAAATGTGTTTTGACTGGGGTCCAGGGGAGATGTTGGTGTGTGAAACCTCTTTCAATAAAAAAGGTAGGTTTTTGGTTTTTCTTTTAGATTATCTGTGTTGGTACAATTTTTTTTTCTTTATTCTCTCAGATTTGACTAGCTGAGATATGAAACTGTTGAACTTATTTTGTACCATTTTCATTTTGGAAACTTTTTAGCTATTTAAGATTTTCATTGATTTGTGAGACTTGGCAGATGTTGAGTCCAGGAAAAAAAAGTTAACAATGATCTTCCCAGTGTTAAAGAAGGTTTTCTTTATACTTAAAAACTTGAAGCTTTTTGTTTCCCTTTTTGTCCTGAGTGACTAAATTCTCTTTGTAGTAGTAGCCTCATGGTGAATATTTGCAGATGTCACAGCCCTTACCTTCGTTTTTTCATTGTGAACAAAATAACTTGTCCTGTAAGCTCCATCAGGTATCGGACATGGCTCTTACCTTTCTGATGGGGATTCCCTCTAATAGCAAGGTAAAATCGACATCTCGATACTTGATTTTGCTTTCTCCTTTTCAAGAGAGAAATCTCAGGAAATGTTAAAAGGATTATTTTGCAAATCTTTGTCATGTTCTTTATCCATATGTAGAGGTTTTCCTTTTTTGTCAAGAGCACACTGAGCTAATGAAGGTCATATAATTTTAGTAAATTACATAGTATGCAGTTTGTGTGATTTTTTCTTTTAATTAAATTTTTTTGCCACTTGGCATGGCATGTGGGGTCTAAGTTCCCTCAGTAGGGATTGAACCCATGACCCCTGCATTGGAAGCATGGAGTTGTAACCACTAGACCACTGATGCTCAGTAGTGTCTGACTCTTTGCAATCCTATGGACTGTAGCCCTCTAGCCTCCTCTGTCCATGGGATTCCCCAGGCAAGGATACTGGAGTGGGATGCCATTTCCTTCTCCAGGGAATCTTTCTGATCCAGAGATTAACTCTCATCTCTTGTGTCTTCTGCATTGGCAGGCGGGTTCTTTACCACTGTGCCACCTGTGAAGGCCCTCATGTAATTTTTAAGCAGAGTAGTTTTTCTTGATTTTACAGTTTGAAATGATCCCTGATGTTGCCAAATATCTATGGGATATCATGGTATTGAGAATCTCAAATTTGGCAGAGTGGTAGAAGTTGCCCAGAAGAGAAACTTCTGTGACTGTGTCTGAATGGCTTCTTTCCCTACTTAATGGGAAAGCTTATCAACATTTCTAGCTTGTCCTTGATTGTTGGAAACTCAAGATTTTCTTTCTTTCTTTCTTTATTGAATCACATTCACAACAAGCCATTGAACGTTATCACAATTTATTTGAGAAGCTGCTGTATGTGAAATTTCCATAAGTTGGTGGTTTATAATTTTTCATTACAGAGCCTTTTCATCACTGTTGCAAAATAGTTTAGTCAGTTTTTGATTCTCTGTTTTAGGAATAATGGCAATAAAAAATAATATTTTGACATTCTGTAAAACTTCAGCTCTGGGTTTATCTTATTTATTGAGTTTACATAGGCTGATATTAAGTGGTTTCCTTTTTGTTTCCTAGTACATTTTAGTGGATAGAGGTGAAATATCTTTACAGAGTATGCTAGTGAGTTGAGGGATAAAGTCTAAGAGTAAACATTTGTATATAAAAATTCATGTATGTCATAAAGCAAGATCCTCTATGACCCACCTCCTAGAGTAATGGAAGTAAAAACAAGTAAATAAGTGGGACCTAATTAAACTTAAAAGCTTTTGCACAGCGAAGGAAACTATAAGCAAGGTGAAAAGAAAACCCTCAGAATGGGTGAAAATAATAACAAATGAAGCAACTGACAAAGGATTAATTTCCAAAATATACAAGCAGCTCATACAACTCAATACCAGAAAAACAAACAACCCAATCAAAAAGTGGGGAAAAGATCTAAACAGACATTTCTCCAAAGAAGACATACAGATGACTAACAACCACATGAAAAGATGCTCAACATTGCTCATTATTAGAGAAATGCAAATCAAAACTACAATGAGATATCACCTCATACCGGTCAGAATGGCCCTCATCAAAAAGTCTACAGACAATAAATGCTGGAGAGGGTGTGGAGAAAAGGGAACACTCTTGCACTGTTGGTGGGAATGTAAATTGATACAGCCACTATGGAAGATGGCATGGAGCTTCCTTAAAAAGCTAGGAATAAAACCACCATTCAGTTAAGTTCACCACCATATGACTCAGCAATTCCACTTCTTGGCATATACCCTGAGGAAACCAAAATTGAAAGAGACACATGTATCCCATTGTTCTTTGCAGCATTATTTACAACAGCTAGAACATGGAAGCAACCTAGATGTCTATCAACAGATGAATGGATAAAGAAGTTGTGATATATATACACAGTGGAATATTACTCAGCCATAAAAAGAAACACATTTGAGTCAGTTCTAATGAGGTGGATGAACCTGGAACCTATTATACAGAGTGAAGTGAGAAAGAGATAAATACCGTATTCAAACTCATATATACGGAGTCTAGAAAAATGATACTGAAGAGTTTATTTACAGGGCAACAATGGAGAAAGACATAGAGAATAGACTTATGGCCATGGGGAGAGGGTGAGATGCATGGAAAGAGTATGTTGGAAACTTACACTGCTGTATATAAAACAGACAATGAGAATTCGCTCTGTGGCTCAGGAAGCTTCAAACAGGGGCTCTGTATCAGTCTACAGGGGTGGGGTAGGGAGGGAGATGGGGGAGAGTTTCAAAGGGGAGGGGATATATGTATACCTATGGCTGACTGATCTTGAGGTTTGACAGAAAACAGCAAAATTCTGTAAAGCAATTATCCTTCAATAAAAAATTAAAAGAATTTTTAAAAATTCACGTATGGGGGCTTCCCAGGTGGCTGAGGGCTTCCCTTATAACTCGGTTGGTAAAGAATCCGCCTGCAATGCAGGAGACCCTGGTTCAATCCCTGGGTCTGGAAGATCCTCTGGAGAAGGGGTAGGCTACCCACTCTGGTATTCTTGGGCTTCCCTTGTAGCTCAGCTGGTAAAGAATCTGCCTGCAGTGCGGGAGATCTGGGTTTGATCCCTGGATTGGGAAGATTCCCTGAGAAGGGAAAGGCTACCCACTCCAGTATTCTGGCCTGGAGAACTCCATGGACTGTATGGTTCATGGGATTGCAAAGAGTCGGACACAACTGAGCGACTTCCACTCACTCACTCAGGTGGCTGAGTGATAAAGAGTTCACCTGCCAATGCAGAAGACATAGGTTCGATCCCTCGTCCAGGAAGATCCCGTATGCCATGGAGCAACTAATCCCGTGCACCACAACTCGAACCTGTGCTCTAGAGCCCAGGAACTGCAGCTGCTGAGCCAGTGTGCACGGCTACTGAAATGCATGCCCTAGAGCCTATGTTCCGTGACAAGAGAAGCCATGGCAATGAGAAGCCCGTGCACCACAACTAGAGAGTAGGCCCCGCTCCCTGCAACTGGAGAAAAGTCCAAGCAGCAACAAACACCCAGCACAGCCAAAATAAATAAAAACTAAAACAAAAAAATTTAAATATGAGGAATTCCTCCGGCCATCCAGTGGTTAGGACTCTGTGCCCCCACTGCAGGGGTATGGGTTCAAGCCCTGCTTAGGAAACTAAGGTCCCGCTTGCTGCATGGCCAAAGAAAATAAAAATAAAAATTCATGTGTGGATAAATAATATATCATGAAATCAGTAGCAAAAAAGCTGAGGCTTTTGTAATTAGTTACTCAATTAAAATTTTAGAGTGCTTTGATGAGGATGCCTGTGATAGATGTTAATTTTTTTTGTTTTTCCTGTTTTGTTTCAGAAAAACCAGAGATGGTGGCAAGTTGCCCCTTTATCCATATCATCCGAAAGGATATAGATGTTTACTCTAAAATCCTGAGAAAACTCTTCAATGAATCCCATGGAATCTTCGTGGGCCTCCAGAGAATCGAAGAAGAGTTGACTGGGAAATCCAGAAAAGCTCAGTAAGTTGGTTGCTGATAGGTGCTGCCTCCCACAACTAAATTTTGAAAAACCAAGTGAAATGCTTTCTTTTTCTTTTGCACAATGAGTGGACCTCCTGGAGAAATATGCGACTCCAGGTTGGATTTCCTGGCCTCTGTACTGGGCAGTGTAAGTGGTCATGGATGGAGAAGTCTTTCAGAGACTGTGTGAATGGCTGCCAGTTGACTTGCTGGCTGCTTGATGAGCTTTCTGTTTCTATTCCTACTTCATGTACCCTCCAAAGAATAAAATTTAGGCCAAATAAGCACCTGAGAGTCATTGAATTGAGGTCCCACTGTTGAGAGTTTTGTTTTGTCTTTATTATTATTATTTTTTTTGTTTTGTCTTTAAAGAATTATTTTCAAGGCATTTTTTTGGGAAGAGACCAGAAAACTTGTATTGTTTACAGACTAGAATTGGTTGAAGTGAGGTTTGTGAATTAACTGCATCAACGTCAGGTACTTATTCAGGCCTCACCTCCTATCTCCAAAATTTCTAGGGGTGGATCCTAAAGTCTCTAGGTGAGTCTTAAGTACAAGTGGAGTTTGAGAGCTCCGGTGTTAGGTTTTTCTTAGTGTCTGTTCATATGTCTAGGGAATAGATAATGTTGGTATTTGTGTTGGAAAAACAAAAAGTTTTTCCTGTGTTTCACTCACAACCCTTCTGACATCAAATGTGTGGGAGTTTCCATGCACCAAGCAGTTATCTGACCCCAGCTGAGTGTCCTACAATTCAGCTGTATCCTGACACCGCCTACCTGGAGATAGCAACAGAGTCCTCCAGTTAGGGGCTCTATAGTACAAAACTGCCTCCGATTCAGATGCCAATCACAAATAGTGGGTCCCCAGGTTACCCACAGCTGCTCTTCAGCTTGGCTACAAATCACTGGTTCCCATGGTGACCTCAGGTTTGATAAATTTGCTGGAGGAGCTCACAGAACTCAAGGAAACAAGTTTAGCAGTTCACAGATGGACAGCCAGGTGAAGATGAACATGGGGCCTAGTCTGGAAGAGTCCCAAGTGCAGGAACCCCTGTCCTGTGGAGCTGGGGTGTATCACCATCCTGGTACATGGATATGTTCACCCACCTGGAAGCTCTCCAAACCCTTTGCCTTTGAGATTTTATGGAATCTTCCTCATGTAGGCATGATCAGTTATCTCCATTTATGGCCCTCTCCTCTCTCCAGGGAAGTCAGGGACAGGGCTGATAATTTCAGTTTCTAATTATGACTGGGTCTTTATGGTGAGAAGTCCTCATCCAGAAGCTACCTAGAGTTGGAACGAAAGGTTCTGCCAGTACTCTTGTCATTTAGGAATTTACAAAGGTTTTAGGAGCTGTGAGTCAGTGATTGGGGTTGAAGACTAGTGTTTTATTTCTTCTTATAAACCGCAGTGTCACCGTATTTTACTTCCTTGATAAGCATTTTACAGATGAATCACCCCAGAGGGTACCCTGGTCAGCATGTGTGTGTGTCTGTGTGTTTATGAAAGATCACTGGTGACAAGAGACTGGTACAGGATATTGATAGCTCAGAGAAATCTCTATTGCCCAAAGCATGTCAAAAGTCCTGTAATTCCCTGAAGGCTGGGACCCTGTCTTGTTTATGTGGACCTTCTGTTCCCAGATATCCTCATTCATCTGTATAGTAGGTGCTTTTAAATACTTGCTGAATTTAATAAATCAGTGAACATGTGAATGTCCTACTAATGGTGGTATGGGAGCTCCTGTTTTGTGTGGGGGGGTCAGTGTATCATCTTGTTTTTTGGCCAGGTGAGTTATTTATTTGGGGATGAGTCTTCACTGAAAAATTAAGTGAGAGTGTGTGCAAGTTGCTTCAACTGCTGCTGGCCCCATTGTACCTTCTGTTCATCTTTAAAGGGATCCAGAAAATAAATAAACAAAAATAAATGGAGCCAGTAGGCAGCATTTAGGTCTCTTCATTTAAAACTAATGTTTCTTTCTAAGGATCTACTTCTTGGTAACTAATAGCTAGTTCCTTTTTTTTGTTTTGTTCTGCTCTTTCCTTTTTTAAGAACTCTGTTTTGAAATAATTTTAAACATACAGAAAAAGTGCAAAAATAATGTCTGTACATCCCTCATCCAGCTCCTCTGATGTTAGTATCTTGTATAACCACATTACTGGTATTTAAACTGGGAAACTTAAATTTTTTTTTTTTTTTGAAATTTAAATGTTGATGCAGTGTGATTAACTGAAGACCTTATTTCAGTTCCACCATCTTTCCCACTAATGTCCTTTTTTTTCTTCTGCAACCGAATGAGGTTGCATTTAGTTTTTTTCTCCTTAATCTGCTTCATGGCCTTATCACTTTTGAAAAAATATTGACCAATCATCTTGGAAACTGTCCCTCAAAACTGTCCTGGGTTTCTCAGATGTTTTCTCATGACTGAGCAGAGATTATGCATTTTTAGCAAAAATACCACAGAAGTGGTGTGATATGTCCTTCACACATCACATCATGAGGTTCATGATGCTGATGTTTTATTATGTTTATATTGACCTTGATCACTTGGTTAATGTGGTTTCTACTGGGTTTCTGTACTATAAAGTTAACCATTTTTCCCTTTGTAACTAGTAAGTATTTGAGGGAAAAACTCTGAGACTATGAAAATCCCATTTCTCCTCAAATTTCAACCACTAATTTTAGGATCCATTAGTGGGTCTCATTTGAGACAGTTAATATCCTTGTGGACTCATGGATATTTCTTTTAGTCCCTGGGTTATATGTTATTTTGTTTATTTTGTGGCTCAAGTTGTTTTAGCTTTGGCCATGAGGAACTCCTTCAAGTTGACTCCTGTCTGTCAGCAAACTTTTTATCTTTTTTTTTTTTGATACTTTCTATTATCACAAGATGTTCCTTATTTTCTGTCACCATAAACTGTTCCAGGTTCATCTTGTATGCCATTTCATCTTTTGTAGATTGGTTCGAGTGAGTAAAAACTACCGATCAGTCATAAGAGCGTGCATGGAGGAAATGCACCAATTTGCAGGTAAATATTGTGTGTGTGAGTAATTGAAGTATTTATCTGGCTATAAGTACTACAAGGTAAAATCTGATTGACATTCTAGTTTAAAACTTACTTGCCTTTCTTACATAATCTTTAATTTTCTGGCAGTTGTCTTGAGTACATTTTAGAACAAATTAGAACATATTATGTTAGCGGGTATGAGGCTAAAGGGCCACATTAAAGACCTTTGACAGTTGCATTGCCAGTTCCTTGATATTGGTGATTGAAAGTTATCATAATCCTGAGAGCCATGTGACTTGTGGGTGCTGAATAGAATCTTGTGTAGCGTGGTGGTCTCTCCATTTGCCACACTGTAGTTGAAAGACCCGCTTGTCATTTCTGGGCCATGGTTTGAGATCATTGATGTACAACAGAGAAATGAAGCATGTTTCAAAAAAAATCTGTATTGAAAATGGGTGGTCAATAGAAGGCACAAGCCATAGTACCTGTCTATGAAGGTCTAACATGTTGCATTGCTCACTTAAAATACTTTATTTTTTTTATTTTTTTTTTTTAATACTTTATGTTTTGTTAGTTGCTGATAAAGATTCAGCCAGTGGCCGCCAGTTCAGCAGCCAGGTAAGGGGGTGGGGCCACCTGTGTTGTACCAGCACCATTTATGTCCTTCTGAGTCCTCAGTAGTCACCGGGGGTGGCTTTGTAATCACTGGTACTGCAGACGTCTCTTTTCCTGCCAGGTAGACAGGCAGCTCCTTGGGGTGGTAAGAATCATCTTGAACTTCCTGGTGCCCTGTTCAAGGCTTAGCGCCTTGGAACACAAGGATACGCTTGATAAATACTTGTACGAGTTTTCAGCTCTTATGGGAAATATAAATCCTTACCATGTTGTGTCACCTAAGATGGTGAGCTGAGGTTTTAGAACCACTGGTTAGTCTCATGAACTATACTCAGTGAACCAGTATTTTTAAATGGCAGGTTGTTACATTTTAGTTGGAAGATGACTTAAAGAATTCTCATTCTTTGGTTAGAATTTTTATATTATTCAAACTCAGTAGTCAATAGGGACTGGTGCACCATATCTGAAGTCATCAGACCATTTATTTTTCCTTATGATTAAGGTATAAAATTCTGTGATTGTACAAGAAGGATGATAGGGGTACTGCATAATTCCTAAGGTCAGGGTCCAAGCTGATTTATTTTGGAGTCTTACATTGGGTTTACTTTTTTTTTCGGTGGGGGGGGGGGGTTACTTTTTTAATAGATTGTTTCCTAAACATCAATCCCTTGAATATCAACATCATTAATTTTTGCTGTACCTGTATATTATGATATTATTTGCTAAATATTTTTCTAAAAATCATCTCTCCCTTTTTACTCAGAGCCGCTTCCTAAACTGTAATATTCATCAAGATCATGGCTGTAAAGAGCTACATTTTTCTAACGCACATTAAAACCACAACCATTGAAACAGAAACTATGATTCTGTGTCCCACCCCCTAAAATTCTCTGACTGTCTTGTGGGGAACCCTACCATAGGAACAGTCTATGTGTTTCAAGCTCTGCTTTGTTTCTTAGCTCTAGGGAAAAAAAACCCTCAGGAATGTTTTCAGTCAAAACTCGGCCTCTGTTCCCTCCTTAGGTCTCCATTCTGTCCGCAATGGAGCTCATTTGGAACCTTTGTGAGATTCTTTTTATCGAAGTAGCCCCAGGTGAGCACAGAATCATCTTGTCACAGCGGCAGAGGTGTCCCCCTACCCTGTCGTGGGCTGTGATGAGTGTTTTGTTGCCTAGAATGCTCTTTTCATTGCTTTTCATCAATACGAGCATTGGGAAGTATTACAGGATGCCTGAAGAAGCCTGTGTTTTTGTCAAGATACTGCAAAAAGAGTCAGAGTATCTTCTGAAAACCTTAAATTGTAGGCAGGTGACCCCTAAAAAATACGAAGAAACAGATATTAAACTAGCATGTGAATGGAGTGGTCCATATTTGTATCATGGACTGGTGAAGCTTTAGAAAGTCTTAGAAGCTCGGGAGAGGTGTGTGCAGGTTCTTCCCCAGCCTCCGAGGGAACCAGCCCTCCCAGCTCCTGAGACTTTTAGCCTCCTGAAACAAGAGACAGTACATTTCTGTTGTTTAAAATTTTAAGAATGAAAAAAAGTTGTACGGATATGAGGCAGGATTAGGTGATGGAAGGCAGAGCCCCTTAGAGAATTCCTTTGCTGGTGATTGGGTCAGGGGCAACCCTACAGCTTCATGTGTCCACTCCGAATTATTCCCTTGATCTTGAATTTGATTGTGTCAGTACAATATCCTGGCTTGAATGGGCTCTCTGTGGAGGGGCTGCAGGCCTTTTTGCTTTCATTTAATGGTTTATATTTACTGTTGTCCATAAGTGTATAAAGCAGTCACAGCTTTTTATTCATACTCCTGCTTAAGCACTGAGCAGCTTGAAATGGAATTGGTTGCTCGCCTCCTCCAGTAGATTCTGAAGACTGTCGCTATCTTTATCATGGTTGTGTACCTGGCACCTAGTCAGTACCATCCCCTTACGGCCGTTACTGATGTGGTCACTGAGTATTGTGTAGTTGTGAAGAAGCTAGGGGTGGTCGGGGTGGTGAGGTCTAGGTCTCGTGTTCAGCCCCCCGACGATTCAGTGAAAGGTCGCGCTGCCTGGCACAGAGGAGGCCCCACAGGAGTCCTTTCGGTAGCTCAGCCCTGTGGTCAGGACCACACGCCCGCTCACTGAAGATGGACGAAGCGCTTCCTCCGCCGTTCGCTCGCCTGCCCTACACTCTGTGCTTCGGGAAAGTGGAATCCACTGCTTGTGTGTTTCCTCCCAGCCGGCCCGCTCCTCCTCTACCTCCTTGACTGGGTCCGGCTGCACGTGTGCGAGGTGGACAATTTGTCGGCAGATGTTCTGGGCAGCGAGAACCCAAGCAAACACGAGAGCTTCTGGAACTTGGTAAGACCCTCGTGCCTGCTGGGCCTCCCTGCCTTCCTCCTGTGTTCTCTTTGGCCTGTGCTCCCGGGCCGCCTGAGGTTTCCCTGCTGAGCCCGTGTGCGTCTGGTTCTTTGCGTCTGTGATCATGGAGACGTGCTTAGGGAGGTGTTTCCTTCCCTGCTCCGTGGGGGAGTTTTGAACTAAGTTATCATGTAAGAAAAATAACGCTTTGTAGACTTCGCAGTGAGAAGGGAATTTTGATCTTTTTGTGGATCTTAGAATGAGACTTGGTGAAGAGAACGCAAAACCGATGGATAGGTGCTGGGATAGGGGTTTGATGTCAGTGGGCTGAGGGTTTTGAGGTGTGAGATGTGTTCTGAAGCTGAGTTGTGATGATTGATGATAGTGCACAACTCTGTAAACTTACTCAAATCCCCCAAGTTAGACACTTAAACAGGTGAATGTTTATAAGGTGTACATTGCAAATCAGTAAAGCTATTAAAAACAAAGACATTGATGATCCCAGTCATTTTGGACGGTCAGTTGGAAAGTCTGTGTGTGTGTGTGTCTGTGTGTGTGTATTCTATGTCTGGGAGAGCAGTACTTTTCCATTCACTGATACTGACCTGTGACCCAGTTTTGAGTGACCAGGGAGGAGGTTGCTGGTTGACTTGAATGTTGCAGACTTATAACGTCTGAAATTCAGGTAAAGAGCTGCTGCCTTTGAGTCTGTTTCTGAGGCCTTCGGGTGCTTGGAGATCTGTGCCGGTAAGGGGAGAGCCTTTGTTCAGAAATGGTCGGGCCTAGGTTTTAAGTGTGTGGTTCGTTCACTGTGTATTTGAGTGGTGCTGTGTGCAGGCCCTGAAGAAACAACCAGAACCAACACAGGCAGTGATTCCTACCTTTACGGAGCTTGCATCCTGTGTGGGGAGACAGGAAATAAATACAGGAGCAAGTAAAATATGTGTAAAAGTGAAGTGCTCTGGAGAGAAATAGAGCAGTGGGGGAATTGGGAGTGTTGGAGTCGAGGAAGGGCACCCTTGTGAGGTGACGCGGGGTAAGGGCTCAGCTCGTAGAGAGGCCGGGTGGTGGTGGTGCTCAGTCACTTGTCCTGTCTGACTCTTGTGACCCCGTGGACTGGAGCCCACCAGGTTCCTCTGTCCATGGGATTTTCCAGGCAAGGGTACTGGAGTGGGTTGCTGTTTCCTTCTCCATAGGATCTTCCTGACCCAGGGATCAAACCTGTGTCTTCTGCATTGGCAGGAGGATTCTTTACCACTGAACCACCAGGAAAGCCTCAGAGAGGCAGGGTAGTTGAATGCTAGGAACAGGGTCTGTGGTGCCAAGATGCCCAGGTAGCATCCCAGCTCGGCCTCTGCCAGCTCTGAGCTCTAGTGAGTCACTTCCCTGCCTTTAGTTTCTTCGTCTGTAGCATGGGGAGTGCCCCACGTGCCCCACAGGGTTGTTCGGACTCGATTAGTTGAAGGAGATAAAGGTATGCCCTAGCTGGTGGACACTAGAGCTCCTGTTTTACTCCTGAGTCAGTTGGGGTAAGGAGGACATTGGAGAGTCAAACACAGGAGCACTGTGATCTCACTTAGATTTTCTTTTCTTTTTAAAAATATTATTTATTTGGCTGTGCTGGGTCTTAGTTGTGGCATGCAGGTTCTTTAGTTGCAGCATGTGAACTCTTAATTGCGGGGTGTGGTCTAGTTCCCTGACCAGGGGTGGAACCCAGGCTCCCTGCATTGGGAGCACTGAGTCTTAGCCACTGGACCAGCAAGGAAGTCGCTGATGTAGGTTTTCAAGGCTTTTCTGGCTGCACTGCTGACAACAGCAAAAGCAGAGCAGAGAGACCAGTCTGGAGGCTCAGGTCCTAAACCAGGCAGCTGTGCTGGTGGCCTGGACACGGGTCGGAGCTGAGTGGAGGGGGTGGTGAGAAGTGATTCGACTCTGGATACAGTTTAAAGGTACAGTGATAGGATTTGCTAATGAATTGGATGTGTAAGAAATAGAAGAACGTGGGTTGGTGGGTTGGAGGCGACTAGGTGTTTACTTCAAGGCATGTTAAGTAAGATGCCTGTGAGAGTCAAGTGGAGCTATAGGGTGGGAATAGGACGTGCGTGTCTCGAATTCAGGGAGAGGGATTGGGACTTGTCAGCATATGTTTCCTTGGCTTTCTTCTTCTTCCTTTTCTTTTGCTGTGGCTTGCAGGATCTTAGTTCCCCAACCAGGAATTGAACTCAGGCCATAAAATAGCATGGAAAAACCTGACCCAGATTTGGCCAACCCAGTATTTGAACTAAAACTTTTTCTTTTAACTGCAACTTTTACGAATCAGTGCTTTATTTGATGCACTTTGGTAATTTTTATTTTCTATTTCATTTTATTTTTAAAAAGTCGGTCATTACCTGCAGTGGGTGGTAACAACATGCAGTTTGAAAAGCATGGTGCAGGGGTTAAAACCAGAAGTTTGGATGAATTAGATTACCCTGAGGGAGGGAACCATCGCTCTTCTCCAGGACGAGGAAGCCGGAGCGGGTGAGGGGCCTGGCTGCTCAGCCTGCGCCTGGGCGCTGTGCTCTTGGTGTCCTCGCAGGTGACCACCTTGGTGCTGCAGGGCCGGCTGGACGAGGCCCGCCAGATGCTCTCCAAGGAAGCCGACGCCAACCCCGCCTCTGCAGGCATGTGCCGAGTCCTGGGGGACCTGATGAGGACCATGCCCGTTCTCAGTGTATGTGGAGCCGCCCGGGCCGCAGAGATGGGTTCATGCAGGGAGCGTGAGGGGCTGGCGTGGTGACTGCCCTGTCCGCGTCTCTCCCGCAGCCTGGGAACACGCAGACCCTGACGGAGCTGGAGCTGAGGTGGCAGCACTGGCACGAGGAGTGCGAGCGGCACCTCCAGGACGGCACGTTCGCCTCCAGCCCCCGCCTCGAGTCCCTCTGCAAGGTCTGCGGCAAGCGGGTCCCGGCCGGGGGCCAACCAGCTCCTCCTGGGGCCATGGGCGTCCAGCCCGGCAGCAGCTCCTCCTCGGATGGGGCTCTCTGTATGGGCCCTCTCGAGAAGGAGCGAGCTTTTCACTCAGCTGCTCCAGCTGAGATGAGGAGCGTTACCAGGAAGTGGCCCCAGAGTTAAGGGACAGCGTCTCTTCTCAGGTCCTGCTGGGAGACGATGCTGCCCTGCTGGAGCAAAAGGAGCTTCTGAGTAACTGGTATCACTTCCTGGTGACCCGGCTGTTGTACTCTCAGCCCACAGTCAAGCCCATGGATCTGCACCTCTATGCCCAGGTGTGTCAGCTCCTCCGGGAGGGGAGGGGAGTCGGCGTCCGGGGCTCCGCTCCCTGCTGGGTCACTTTCACCGTGTGGCCTCATTGACTTGACCCTCCCTGGAGAATAGAGGGGCTTTCCTTGGGCCCAGTTTGAAGGACCCCATTGCCCTTCTCCAGGGTCCCCTACACAGCAGCCCTGCCTGCACCCTTGAGTCTCTTCCACCATCTGGGGACTGAATGGGTTACCACCTTTCCACAGTCTAGCCTTGACCTGTTTCTGGGAGGTGAGAGCAGCCCAGAGCCCCTGGATAACATCTTGATGGCAGCCTTCGAGTTTGACATCCACCAAGTGATCAAGGAGTGCAGGTAAGACCCCGCTGAGCGCCTCGGTGCCGTTCAGCGCCTGGTGCATTCACGGTCGTACGCCCATCACCATCGGCCTTTTCCGGAGTGTCCTGCTCCTTCCTGTTGGTGTCTTAACCTCCTTCCCACAGGCCTGCTCCCCCGCCACAGCCACATTGGGCAGGCAGTGTCTTCTCTCTGGACGAGTCTGGGGGCCTTCCTGAGGCTTGCAGGCTCCTGTATGTGTAACAGTGTGCACTTCAGGGATGTTTAAGTAATATTGTAAGAAATTACTATGGTATTTAAAATCCAGAAATAGCCAGCCAGCTTATTTCTTGGAACTTGATGGACATGCAGCCACCTTACAGGACAGCACTTCTCTGGTGAGTCGAGCTACACCAGTGGACTCTGGGCTGGGTCTGTTCGGAGCAGAGATTCTTCATCAGCCCCCTCCCCAGACCTTCAGCAAGGCAGGATAGGGAGCGTGAAACAGTGAACCCAAGGCAAAGCTTTCCAGATTCCCCACCTGTAGTAAGTCAGAGAGAACTTACCCTCCCTTCTCATGCGGAGGAGGAAGGTTGGGAACTGTTGGAGCAGGTGGCCTTGCACAGGTATCGAATTCACTGACCTTGACTGGATCTTTTCTTTGTTAGTGAATCTGGGCAGTAGGAAGTTCTCCCCGCTTCTACCCTCCACCCCCGCCCCACACATGCTACCTGCTCTTCCTGTTTGGCCAAAAGAAAGCCAAGGCCCATTCAGAAAATGGTGTTAGACTTGGAGAAAGGAAGGTTTGTGTCCGTATTCTTTTCACAAACCTCTAAAATAGGGACTGGTTGGAACTGGAAGATAACTTACAGAATTCAGCTGATTTTGGCGCAAGGGGTTGTATCTGGAGTGAAGGATCAGTGGGGGCGGCTCCCAGGGCACAGACGCAAGTCTTTAGTTTTGTTAGGGTCTCTGTCTATAATTCAAAGCAGTAGGCATTCCTGAATATGTTGTCTGTTACTGGCAGTGGGTTATTTCCTCCAGGGCTTCCTTCATAAGCCACATCTGGAATTTTAGGATCAAGACAGATTTGAGGAAAAGAGGAAGGAAGGACAATAAAAAAAGAAAAGCACCTTGCTGTTTCCAGTGGTTGTAGAAGGAAAAGAGAAAGAAGTGTAACAAAGAGGCATGGTGCTAATGAACGCCACTGAAAAACGCATCACCCCTGCCAGTCTTGAAGGGGGAAATGATCAGGCTTGCAGCCCCTCAGTCTGGGCGTCTGTCTGCCCTGGCAGGCAGGGGAAAAATTGAGGTATTTCCATTAGCTAGGAATCTAGGAGCTTGGGTTTTCCTGACCAGTAAGCTTCTTCCTGCCCTACTCTGAAAAGCAGGTCCCAGGACCTCTGTCCGTTAATTGAAAGAAGGGCTGAAGTATGCTCAGAGAGTGCCTTCCTGGACGAGGAAGGGTGGGATCTGGGGTCTCCTGAGCACTTGCCTTCTCACGGGTTGTTCCAGTTAGGCCCCAACTCGCTTCCCAGGGGAGGAGAGCCTCTGGGGTGGGGCTGGGGGGCTGGTGGTGAAGGGGAGCCTTGAGCTTCAGGTGTGGTGTCAGCTGTTCACTCCTCTTGGGGGGAATGAGGGAAACCCTTCCTCAGATAGAAGGGAGCTTTCTATAGGGGTACCTGATGATCCCCATGTCAACCATGCCAGGCCATGGGGCAGAGAGGGCTCCTGAGGCAGAGCAGAGAAGCCCTGAAAGTGAAAGTGTAGTCGCTCAGTCACGTCTGACTCTTTGTGATCCTGTCGACTGTGTGTAGCCGCCAGGCTCCTCAGTCCGTGGGATCTTCCAGGCAAGAATGCTGGAGTGGGTTGCCATTTCCTTCTCTGGGGATCTTCCTGACGCAGGGATTGTGGGCAGGCTCTTTACCGTCTGAGCCACAAGGGAATCCCAGAGAGGCCCTGGGAGGCCACAGTTGGCCAGCTCCTGCTGAAGGGCCCCGTGTTTGCCTGGCGTGCCCACAGCTGAAGGGAGATTGGATTTCTTCCCTTGTGGGTTGCAGCTGCCAATTCTTGCCATCCAGCAAAAGGAAGAGAGGAACTGGCATGGACTTCACGGGACAGCAGCCCCAGGGCAGGGCAGACAGCCCATTTAGTCAGTCATGCAGTGAAAACCAATCCCTACTCTTTTTATATCCTGAAAGCAGGATTTTTTACCCTAGCAACATTGAAGTTGCTTTTCCCTCCCAAGATTTAAAAAATACTGTAGCATTATATACAGATACAGAAAGGCCTATACCAAGTAACAAATTAAAAATATAACTCAAAATGATGTATTCACACTGGTATATTCTATACAAAATGCTAGTGAGTTTACAGAATTTGGCGATGTAAAAAAACTTAACATCTGAAACATTTAGAGGGCCCTAGAAAATGTCATTTTTAATAAGGGCTAGAGATGATTTTAGGTTTTGATTAAATGTGGTTTGGGGATGGACTTTTAGACCTTTGTTATGTGTCAGATTACATATCCAATAAAATCAAATTATTAATCATATAATCAAGCAAAGACTTTTTTTATACAAAGTATTAATAGATAATACAAGGTGGTTTTTAAAGTGCTGCCATGTATATATAATTGTGTTCATAAAATATGCTAATCAAAACTATGCAACAGTGAGAAACGTTAACAGAACGTAAACAGCAATCCAAATGCACACCGTAGTTCTTTGAATTCCATGTTTCATCAAGAATCAAACTCCACCAGTCTTTTCATCCTTTTCTTACCCATTACCTGTGTCTGCATTCTCTCCCTCTGACTGGTCCCTGGGTTTTTTCTGTGTGACATTCTCCATTGCCATGTCTCACTGGTTCTGTTGCGGCGTTGCGTGTCCTTCTCAGTGTGTTATTAGTCCCGCCTCGTGGGCGGAGTCCGGCTTGCCACTGTACCGCAGAGGAGGTGTGGGGCTCCTGCTTGCGCTCCACAGCTGGGGCCGTGGCTGCTCGCCCTGACGTTGCTTCTTGCCTTGGTCTCTGAACCCGTAGCATCGCCCTGAGCAACTGGTGGTTCGTGGCCCACCTGACAGACCTGCTGGACCACTGCCAGCTCCTGCAGTCGCACAACCTCTAGTAAGCGCTCCATGGCCGTGCCAGCCTCTTCCTTGCTGCCACCAGGCCCTTGAGGGTGGGGTGACCGGAATGCCTGGGAGAGGGAGGTTGGGCTGCAGAAGGCGGCCCTGAGGAGCAGCCCGGGAGCCTTGCTCTCGTGGTCTGTTCTCTGTCAGCTTTGGATCCAACATGAGAGAGTTCCTCCTGCTAGAATACGCCTCAGGACTCTTTGCTCATCACAGGTAGGAAGGCCGCAGGGCTGAGAGGCAGTGGGGTGCCCTCCGGCAGGCGCTACGCATGGCCGGGGTTCTCTCCGGTCTGGCTCTGTGAAGGCACCGGGTCTGGGGAGGAGCTGCCTTGGAAGCTAGTTCGAGCCCTAGGGCAGTTTCCGGGCCCTCATGTCTGTCCCCCTGGGCCCATGCAGCCTGTGGCAGCTGGGTGTGGACTACTGTGACCACTGCCCTGAGCTGGGCCGGGTCTCTCTCGAGCTGCATATTGAGCGGATCCCTTTGACCACGGAGCAGAAAGCCCTCAAGGTACTGCGGGTCTGCGAGCAGCGGCAGATGACGGAGCAAGGTGAGTGGGCTCTCCTCCCAGCCTTCAGAGTCTGGGCAGTAGCTACCAGGAGGTGAGCCCAAGCGTCAGAAAATCCCTGGCGAGGGAGGAAGCACTGGGGCCCACTGGGACCCAGAAGCGGTCGAGCATGCTGCCTGTTACAAAGGTCCTGACAACTTATGTGCTCATGCCTTCAACCAGGGCTCAGGGTGGGCAGTTGTGGTTTGTCCTGTCCCAGGGGGCTTGCCGGTGCTGGCTTGGGCTGGCTGGGGGGACGCAGGACTGGAGGTGACTCAGGAAGAGCACAGGGAGACGTTGATGAAGTTTGCCCCGTCTCTTCCCACTTCGCTGTCTAGTGGTACAGGCCTAAATAGTTATTCTTCCCAGAGGCACTGCGTGTTTATGACCGTCCTGAAAGCATTTAGCACTCAGGACCCAAAGCCTTGTAGGATTTTCAGCATGTGGACAGATAATGACACGCTGGTCTCTGGGGAGCCTTGCCAATATTCTTGCCACCCCTAAAGTGAAACCTGCTCACAAAGCCAAAGCCTACCAGGGTGGGTCGTACTGTTAACGAGGCCACAGGACAATTTATAAACCTCACAGTTCTGGTTCTGCTGCCCGGCTGTACTTGGAGCCCACAGAGAGGCCACCTAAAACTCAGGGGTGGTGGGAAGGCTGCTCCTGTCTCAGCAGGGTTTGGGAGTGGAGTGATTTATAGGGTGAATGGTTTGCCTTTTCTCTTTCCCCTGCAAAGTTCGCAGCATCTGTAAGATCTTGGCCATGAAAGCGGTCCGCAACAATCGCCTAGGCTCTGCTCTTTCTTGGAGCATTCGCGCCAAAGATGCCGCCTTTGCCACGCTGGTATCAGACAGGTGGGCTCCCTGTCTGCATGCTCCCCGGATACTGCCTGGGACGTCGCGGGGCTGAGCAGGGGGCCTGGGGCTACTGCTCTCATCTGTGGGCCGGCCTTGCAGGTTCCTCAGGGATTACTGTGAGCGAGGCTGCTTCTCTGACCTGGATCTCATTGACAACCTGGGGCCAGCCATGATGCTCAGTGATCGACTGACATTCCTGGGTGAGTCTCTGAGCTGTCTCTGGGACCTTCAGCACAAGCGCACAGAAGTTCTAGACTTCTCCAGGCCAAAACACACAGAACTCGGAGGGACTTCCCTGGTGGTCCAGCGGTTAAGACTCCGTGCTTCCACTGCAGGGGGTGCAGGTTTGATCCCTGGTGGGGGAAGCGAGAGCCCACACTTGCAGCACGACCAGAGGGAAAAAAACAGGAGCCAGTGTGGTCTCTGCAAAGCGTGTTTTTGGGTAACATTTTATTTTCTGGTAATTTGAAACTTAGAAGTTGTGAAAGTAGTGTAAGGAATAAGAGACTACCCTACACACTTTACCAAGTTAACCAGTTATTCATGTTTTGCCTCATTTGTTTTATTCTGTCAGTCAAGTTTTTTGGGAATAGTTGGGAAGTATGTTGAAGACATTGTTTCCCTTCCTCTGTAAATATCTGAGCATGTATATTCTAAAGAATGAGAACATTCTCTTAACCAGTTATGAAAATCAGGAGGTTCAGCATTGATAGAATCCATGACAATCCAGACCAATCCATTTTCTGATTTCATCAGTTGTCCCATTAATGTCCTTTATTTTGTCATGAATTTAGTTTTCCTATCTCATTAATGCCTCTGCCTTTGTTGGTGTTCCTTAATCTTGACATTTTTGCAGAGTCTGTTCAGCTCTCTTGTAGAATATTGTTACTTTGGGTTTATTCATGAACAGCCTCAGGTTATATACTTGGCAGGAATTCCACTGAGGGGATGTGTTTTTTTTTTTAATTTTCAAACATGATTTTATTTTTTTAAACTTATTTTTATTAGTTGGAGGCTGATTACTTTACAATATTGTAGTGGTTTTTGTCATACATTGACATGAATTAGCCATGGATTTACATGTATTCCCCATCCCGATCCCCCCTCCCACCTCCCTCTCCGCCCAATCCCTCTGGGTCTTCCCAGTGCACCAGGTCCGAGCACTTGTCTCATGCATCCAACCTGGGCTGGTGATCTGTTTCATCCTAGATAATATACATGTTTCAATGCTGTTCTCTTGAAACATCCCACCCTCGCCTTCTCCTACAGAGTCCAAAAGTCTGTTCTATACATCTGTGTCTTTTTTTTTCTGTTTTGCATATAGGGTTATCGTTACCATCTTTCTAAATTCCATATATATGTGTTTACTGTAATGGCCTTTATCTTTCTGGCTTACTTCACTCTGTATAATGGGCTCCAGTTTCATCCATCTCATTAGAACTGATTCAAATGAATTCTTTTTAATGGCTGAGTAATATTCCATGTTGGAGGGGATGTGTTAATAGGAACTCCCTTAATGGAGTTCACCTTGATCACTTAGTTAAAATGGCATCCACCAGGGGTCTCCTCTAATATTTATTGAACAGATTTATTAATCTGTGGAGGTGTACTTCGGGATTATTTAAATCTCCTCAGATTTGATCCACTAGTGTTTGTAACTACTGGTGATCTTCTGAGTGCCGATAAAATTGTGTTTTAGTTGGCATTCCCCTGTATGGAAGGGTTCCCCTTCCTCTCATTTATTCTTTCATTTATATCAGCCATGGCCTTGAGGGTTATTTTATTCAGTCTATTATCAACCATGACTCTTGTTCATTTTGACACTTATATTCTCCCAGGTTTGGCTCTTTGGAGCCCCCTTTAAGCGAGGATTTTGAATCCTTTTGGTCTTGTTGGCTGATGAGCTTGGAGGCTGCTTTGGAAGAATTTCCTTGCTCTGGGGTCTCTTGTTTACGGTCACAGGTGACCTAGTGCTCTCTCTTCCCAACAGGAAAGTACCGTGAGTTCCACCGCTTATACGGGGAGAAGCGTTTTGTCGATGCCGCTTCTCTCCTCCTCTCTTTGATGACATCCCAGATTGCCCCCCGGTCTTTCTGGATGACGCTGCTGACAGATGCCCTGCCCCTTTTGGAACAGAAACAGGTACAGGTTGAGTCCACAGTGCCTTCTCTTTTATCCTGTGGCTGTTGCAAATGTACATCCATCCATCGTCTCCTAAGTAGGGGTGTGTGATTTCCATAGCACCCACTCTGGAACTCTAGTGTCTCCACAAGCAGATGACTTATCTGGAAATGAGGCAGCGGTCCATGGACAGTGCTCAGCCCAGGACCCTGATGAGAAGAGCCGGGAGTGAGAGTAGGGCCTCTCAGCCCCCAGCACACTCCTCCACATGAGATACAAGAAAGGCTGTCTCAGCCGAGCCCTTGCCAGACAGCTGCGGGCCCTGGCTGGGGAGCAGCTCCGCGAAGTGGCCTCCCCCACAGGTGATCTTCTCCGCGGAGCAGACATACGAGCTCCTGAGGTGTCTGGAGGACCTGACCTCAGGAAAGCCACTGTGTGGAGAGCCCGACGCCCAGCAGCTCCAGGTCAGTCTGGTGGTTCCAGGATGGGGGGAGAAGAGGCACCCCGCCCAAGACGTTGGCCCCTTACAAACTCACACGCCTCTCACGTTACCGCTAACTTGTGACCGGGGCACACTAACTCTTCGGTGGAAGTGGGGTGATTCAGTGTTCAGGCCTCTCGATTTTTTCTTTCCTGTCAGTTGTGGTGGTCTCTGCATGCCGCTTGGTCTCATATTAAGAACTTACTGGAAGATACTACTCAGTGTTTTGTGCCCTTTATCTCCCTTTGGATTAGTCTTGGGAAAGAAGGAAAACTTCCTGCTGGTCTTCACACAGGCTGTCTTTGGTTTTAGGATGATGATATAGAGACCACCAAGGTGGAAATGCTGAGACTTGCTCTCGCACGGAATCTTGCTCGGTCGATTATAAAAGAAGGCTCATTGGAAGGTTCCTGAAGCTGGCTCCAACATGGTATCTTTGTAAAGGCAATGTATATACACTTTTAAAAGAATAAATGTTTCTTTTTGCAAGTACAGGCAAGTTCTTACATGTGGGGAGGTTTTAACCTGCCAGCACTGGAAACCTGAGGTAGCCACCTTGGAGAGAAAGCATCCCTGGAGTTACGGGGAATACAGAGCCCTCCTGCCCACGGTAGAAACCTGAACAAGACTGTTCAGCAGTTTGCTTGTGCATCTGAAACTTTGCTTTACCTCAGAATCATCTGTTAACTTCCTGGTTATCTTTTTGTTTATTTAGCATGTTGTGTTGGGGTATTGCCGGTCAACGTTGTGATAGTTTCAGTGAACAGCGGAGTGACTCAGCCACACATACACGTGTCCATTCGCCCCCAACTGGCCTCCCATCCAGGCTGCCCCACAGCGCAGACGTTGAGCCGAGTTCCCTGTGCTGTCTATGCAGTAGCTCCTTGTTGGTTCTCTCTCTCAAACACAGCAGTGTTACATGTCCATCCCAGACTCCCTAACTGGCCCTTCCCCTCGTCTTTCCCCTTAGCTTCCCTAAAAAAGGAAAGTCTAGGAACTTATCTTTCAACAGAAACCTCAGGTGGCACCTTCCCCCACACTGGGGTGACTGGCATCTGTATTATAAAGATTCCAAATAGGGCAAAAATGGTTTTATTTAACATGCAGCAAAACAAGGGCAGCAGTTGATATATCCAGTAGTTTTTTGTCACAAAGTGACCTCAATAGTAATGAGTAACACTCATAAATAACTCTAAGTCTAAAGCTTATCGTAAAGGTACATTCCGCATAGTAGTCCCACAGAGCTTCCCAGGGCTGCAGCAGCCCATCTCTGGAGAGCTCTTGGATTTACTCCTTAAGGAGTGAAATGGATTCACTTTCTTTCGTCTGTCCTAATGAAGCAGTGAAACCTGCTCGCTGATGAGGGGAGCGGAGGGGGTGATGGCCTCTTGATTAAGGAAGCCTGGCGAGAGCAGGGAGGGCTGCTCCAGGGCTGCCTCTCCCTGGAGCTGGCTCTGGCTCATCCAGCTGAGCATGGGTGAGCCATCTGCTCGTTCCCCAGCGGCGGGGTCTCACCTGCCTGTCACCCCATGAGGCCTAGCTGTAGCCAGTGGACGGAGCACTGTTGAAGCAATAGGGTCTGGTGACTCGATTCAAGCAAGGCCCCTAATCTCACCGCCTCCAGACCCAACATGTCGCCGACAGTGCCCCTCAGCAGCTGGGGACACTCGGGGTCTATGGGCAGCAGGTAAGGACATAAGTTTAGTGCAACGCGCCTGATCCTGAGGCCTCCTGTTCCCAACCACGAGCCACCCCGCAGGCCATCTGGTGGGAGGAGGGGGGCCAAAGCAGGACACAGGGTGCTGTCTTCCCCTTCAGAGGCGTGAAGGGCAGCACAGCGGTTTGTTCCAACGCTGAGCAAGAGGTAGTGAGTGAGTGAGATGGCCTGTTCCCATGGCAGGAGGCACCCTTTTCCCAGAAAGTGCTGGGTACCTGCTTCCGGAGAAGGCGCAGCACTGCTCTCTTCCATTTCCTTTCCTAGTTGTGGTTCAGGCTGCCACAAGGCCAAGTTCTACTTCTAGCAGCTTTAGTCCCTTATCTTACTGTGATGTCCACAGGACACAGCCTGCCGCCGCCAGGGCCCAGCACAGCTCCTCTGGAGGCCAGCCGTTCCAGGCTCATGCTGCCCACAGAGGGCAAGGATGGCGGTCCGGCAGCACGCCAGCGCCCTGCTCTGGGCCCAGGGCCATTGGGGAGCCTAGGCTGTGCCCTCCTCCCTGGAGCATGCCGAGGGGAAGCCTGGGTAGCAGCGGGGCTGAGAACTGGGGATGTGAGGATGTGGTCCTGGAGAGTCCTGAGTCTCTGCATCAGAGGATGCCAGCGCAAGGGGAAAACCCACTCCAGCCCTGGGGCCATGTCCCCAGGGGGCGGCGCAGCACCTGGGGCCACTCCCTGCTCCTGATGCACGTGGCCACTTCAAGTCACACAGGTAGATAAAAACAGGTCCTCTTAGGGGCTGAAGGAAGAGAGATCACAGCAGCGGCTCGGCTCCCAGCAGCAGCGGCCAGGGCCCCTGTTCCACATCAAAGCTCTCAAGCACAGCGGTTAGGACGTGAAGGAGGACCAGGCCTGGAGAGCCTCCCGTATTGGGGCAGCCTGCCTGGGCTCCAAAGTGCAGCCAACATGTGTCCTCTGGGGTCATAGGTTCCCCCACTGCTCCACAGGGGGGAACTGGTCCACCTCACCCACCTCTGTGCTCAGCTGCTCCCCCAAGGCGAAGGTCAGCCTGTACCGAAGCCTCGCCTTCTCCTGCAGCAGAGGGGCCGCGTGTCAAGACACCCCTCTGATACCCTCAGGGTATCATGCTTTCATGGCAGGGGACACGCCCTGCTCCTACCACCCCATCCTCCTTGGTCATTGGGCCAGGGTGGAAAAGGGACATGGGAGAAGCAGTAACACTCCAGGCTGGGAGGCGGTGGATGGGGAGGTCTAAGCTGGGGCAGCCAGGGCTTCCCGCTGGGGTCCCCAGCTCCAGCTCACCTTCAGCGGGTTGGCCAGCAGCATGACCTGTGTGATGGCTGCAGGTGGCTGGATGGGGCTGAAAGGAGAGAGTTCTGTCCCAGAGGGTGGCTGCAACTTCACTTTCATTGACTAGAGAGAGAGACAGGCTCCTTTGAAGAGATGGCAGGTGCCCTTGAGGTGGAACGGGGTGTGGCACGTGGGTGCAGGAAGAAGCCCCAGGGGGCGGGGATACCTTGGGCACTGCGGCCTGCAGCACGATGCTCTTGATGGGCAAGGGAGCTGTGTTCAGCATGGACACCACCACCACCAGAACATCGGGCCGTCCTGGAGGGCACTCCTTGGCAAAATGGAAGAGGATGCGGAAGCCGTTTTTATCATAGGCCGTCACAGGAAGGGCACTGCCTGTGTGTGAGAACGGGGCAGTTGAGGGCGTGGAGAGAGGTGGGCCTGAGACAAAGCACCGCAGCCGAGGGGAGGGCACGGCAACCCCGGGACCAGGAAGCTCCGGGCGGAGCCTGGGAAGAACCTCCTGAGCGCACAGCAGGGACAAGCACAGACTGTGACGACGTAGGGTGGGCTGCATGTGGCTCTAAGGGACCCTGGCAAGAAGAGCCTGGACCCACCCACCCCTTGCATGCGGCCCACAGCTCTGCAGGCTGGGACCTCCGCCCCTCACCCCGAGCCTCCAACACCTACTAGGCTTGATAGACTCCAGGGGCACGTGGACACTGGCCAGGGAGAGCTCGGGCCCCTTCACGGGGCTGCCCTGGGCCTGGAAGAGAGGGCTGCCGGGCCCCGTGGAGAGGGGGAGGAGAGGCCGAGCGGAGGTGCCGGTGGGGAGCAGAGGAGGGGCGGCAGCGCCTGGGAAGAAGCTGGAGGCGGCGGGTTTCACCAGGCCTGACGTCCTGGGCAGCAGGAAGGAGGACAAGGCGTGTCGAAGGCCAGGCAAAGCTGCTGACCACCCTGCACGGAGGCCCCCAGACTAGAACCAGCTCTCCCCCCCACCATCCCGGCTTCCAGATTCCAGCCGACCCACCAGACTGAGAGGGAACTCCCGCGACCCCCTGGGGCTGCCTCCCCAGCACCCCACTCCCGCTCATTACACTTTGGCCTCTTGTAGAAGCTGGTCGAGGACATCCAGCTGGTGCAGGGTACTATCGCCCAAAGCGGAACCGTGGTACCCGGGGCTGATGGGCTTAGCCTTTGGGGCCGGAGCTGGGGCCAGGCCGGTGGAGAACAAGAAGGGGCCGGCTCTGAGGGCAGGAACTCCAGCCGGGACCACTGGGGCCTGGGGCCTGCCTGCGGGGGCCCCTGAGGGCTGCAGGAGAGGCCCATCTGCAGGGCTGCAGGCTCCCGGCCCGGGCTTGGAGCTGAAGAAGTCCAGGTCCGACTGCTCGCTCTGGGGAATGAGAGCGGGAGTGAGGTGGCCCTGCAGGCGGCGGAGGCTCCAGGCTCTCCACCCTGCCTGCCCCCCACGCTGTTCCCGGAGGCTGGGCTGAGCTCTCTGCACCAACAGCCGTCCAATGGACAAGGCGTGTGAAGCGCTGTGTGCAGGAGGGTGCCCGGGGCCAGGACAAGGCTGGCAAGGGGGGCAGACACAGCGCCCGCCCCTACCTGGAGCAGGGGCCACTGGCTGTTCCCAGCTGCCTCGGCGGGAGGAGCGCTGGGCACCGGGTCGGCGAGGCCTGAGGACAGAGGAGACGGCTGTGGTGGAAGAGGCTCTGCGCTAGGGCAGCCCCAGCCCCACCTCACCTGAGGGAGGGTCATGTGACCACCAGGCTGTCCGAGGGTGAAGGGGTGTCCCCCATAGCTTCCAGAAGGGAACGGGCCCTTTTCCGTCTTTATGCTGCAGGGGTGCCTCCCGGGGAAGAGGAAAGCACAGCCAGACACGATGTCCACCCGAGGACACTGCCCTGGGCCCTCCTTCCCACCCTCGCTCAGCACCCAGGGTTCCCTCAGGCCTCCCCGCCCAGGGCAGCCCCCCTAGGACGCACCCAAGCAGAGCAGCTCCTCGTCCAGCAGGCTGAGGGCGTTGCTCGTGCTGCTGGGCCCTGGGGGCGCCTCGGGCTGGCCAGCCGAGTGGCTGCGCCCAGGGCCTGAGGCCTGGGGGGGCGGAGGGAGGACAGGGATGCTCGAGCTGGAGGGGGCAGGGGCCAGCGCTGGGGGCGGGCTGCTTGGCGCATCCACCTCAGCAAGGTCAATGAGAGTGCCTTGGTGGCTGGAGCGGCAGTTTCCTGGATGGATGACGGAAGGGGACAGGAATCACTGGGGGCCCCTCCCAGGCTGCGCAAGGGAGCAGGGACCCTGAGCACAGCCTCTGGCCGCCTCCCAGAACACCTGTCCGGGGAGCGGTGAAGAGCTGGTGGAGGCGGCGGGTGGGGACACCCTGTGTGACCTCCTGGGAGGGGCTTGGAGTCCCCTCAGGCCTTTGAGCTAACACGGGGTCACTCTGCACTGGGGCCTGGCGGTGGGGACCCGGGCTGCTCTGGAGGGAGCAGGGAACCAGAACACTCTACCTTCCGAGTCGGGAATGGCTGAGGTCACCACCTCACCATTGACAACCTGCCCTTCAACGACTGTCTTATAAGAGTTGATGACCCGGGAGAGGTTGTCACTGGCCTGTAAGATGTCCCCTAGTACCGGAGAGAAACCTGTCACTCCCGGCATCACGATGCCCCCACCACACACCATCCAAATCCCCGGGTCACCCCCTCAACTATCCTTCCCGTTCCACTCACCTAAACTATTGTCATTGTCCTCTGTCTCGCTGGCGAGTTTGAATAACGTCCGCCTCTTGTTCTCACACCGATCAAACAGCTCCTAATAGAGACCCAGCCGGGAAAACTCGAGCTGCCAGGAGATCACCTAACCTACCGTCCATGCCAGAGTCCTGGCTCCCCGGTACCACAGCCAGTTCCTGGCAGATCACCCAACCCACCATCCATACCAGGGTGCCCCAGCTCCCCTAGTATCATGGTCAGCTCCTGGCATAGTCAGACTCTGCACACATACTTCCTGCCGCCAGCCTCGGCCACTCTGCATCACAAGACACCTGCTCAGGCAGAGAGGCAGCCAGGACAGCAGGTACCTTCCCGCCTCCCTGGCTGGCACATGCCTCAGAATTCAGTCTCATGTGACTGAGGACGGAGGAGCGCACCGGGGAACCAGGGTGGGCCTTTCTCTGCCCAAGCGTCCCCAGGCAGAAGGCAAGGTGGACAGCAGGGGCGCGCCCCGAGGCAGGTCTGCAGAGTCGCGCAGACGGAGGGTGCATGGAGCGAGTCAGCCACGGCTCACATGAAATGGGGGCGGCACCCCTCGGCCTGGCTGCTGGTGGAGGAGGGTCGCCGGGGTGTAGCAGCGTCTCGGGGCAGGGACGCCCCCTCCTGGGGCCCACCTTCATGAGCTCCTTGTCTGCCTCCGCAGAGCCTTCTCTGCTGTAGTGGCGCAGCATCTCAGCGAGCAGCTTCACGCTGGCATCCACCTCCTCCAAGGTGTGCAGACGCTCGGTCGCCTTCTGCGCCCGCGCCTCATCCTGCGCCGGAGAGGACCAGGGAGCGGGAGCTCAGCTGGACTCGGCCCACTGCCCGCCCCCAGACTCCGCCAGGGAGGGTGAACACCTGCCCAGGGAACATGCGGGCCAAGGCCCGCCCCACAGAAGCTCCTTTCAAAACGTGATTCTTGGGACTACTGGCCGCAGACCTAACCTACAGCTCTTCTTTCAAAGCAGCAGCCCGCCTGCCCCCAAGCCTGACCCCATGACTCCCATTCCTCTCTCCTATCCACCCCCTGCTCCCACATGTGGGGGAGCCCTGGAGACAGGGGAAGGGACCGCTGCTCTGGGGCCACGGGCTCCTCCTCCCCAGGGCTCAGGGCGCACCCACCTCCTTCACCATGGACTTGATGAGCTTGTTGGCCTCCTGCAGGTCGTCTGGGTTTTTGCTTTTCAACAGCTTGGCTAAAAGCTGGAAGAGGAGGGCCTCAGAGGTGGAGGGAAGGCAGCACCCCACCGGGGCACCCTGGCACTGAGCGAGCCCACACCCCATCAAGGACTTTACCTTGGATTTCTCCTCGTCATCAAAAACGGGGTTTTTGGGACGAGGCGGTGGAGACGGGATCAGCGTCCTGTCCACAGAGATCAGCGGGTCAGAATGCACGATGCCTGAAAGGGGACGGAGCAGAGGTCGCACAGGCTGGGCCGCCCTGGTGCCCGTTCCCACACAGCAAGGGGTGCCCCCGGGGCCAGGCCTGCAGGCCGCACACGCCTCAGCCCCTCAAAGCCCAGCCCAGTGCCCCCTGCTTGGGCAGACAGCCGCGTACCCTGTCTCTTCAACATGTGGTAGGCATCCTTGATCTTTGATTCTTCCGGCAGGGCCAACGTCCAGCTATAAAGCAGCTCAATAACCTTGGTCTTCACTTTCTCAGACACCCTGTCCCCCAGGTACTAAGGAGCAAAGGAAATGGGAAAACTGAGTGCGTGTAGCCTGGAGGCAGAGACAGAGGGAAGGCTGTGTTCACAGCAGTGAAATGGTCACTAATTGGCTACAATCCCCAGGTGTGAGCTGCAGGTGTGAGACAGCGCGGCCCGGGGAGGGGAGCAGCATCCAGGGGGCACAGCCTCCGGTCAGGCAGGGGGCCGTGAGCTTGTCACCGTGTTCACACACAATAAGCCAGACACATAACTGCACTTTCTCTCGAAGGAGTGAACGAGAATGCCTTCGCGGTGAAGAAGTGTCCCGTCTGCCCAAGCGGGTGCCCAGAGCTGAAGCGACACTAGTGCGTGACCGTGGCGGCCACGTGACAGATGAGGAACAGTGACTGCTGTCACGGGAGCCCGTCAGCGGGTTCACTGAGGCCGGGAGGTCCGCAGACGTCCCTGTGTGCACGTCTATCCTCAGCACGGCGTCCTCTGAGTACAGGACCCAGGGAACCCCGGACCTGGGGAGACGCTGGTTCGCATGGTGAAAGCCAGTAAGGTGGGAGCGGGGAGGAACACAGAAGTTCTGAGAAACGAAACTGCCACCGACTGACCTTCGGAGAGACGACTTTGATCAACTCATTCAGAAACCGGAACTTGCCCACTTCATTATGGAGCCTCCTGCCGCAGTTCTTCATGCAGGCTTCCAGCACCTGGGGCACAGAGGCCGGCGCTCAGGCCAGGACCTGGCGCTCGGCCAGACCTCACATGCTGGCGGCGCTGCATAAATCCTTGCCCAAGGAAGGACCTAACCAGAAGAGGCGGCCCTGGGGGACATCAGGGCAGTGGGATTACTCACAGAAGAGTTCCTCAAGGTGCAAACCCTTCCAGGGACGCTCAGCAGAAACTAAAGTAAAAAACGCTGAAGCCCAGTTAACAAGACAGTCAGACGGTCAGCCCTGGAGCAGGCCTGCCTGCAGATCCTGCCCTTGGGCTTCACAGGTGAGGAGATGGAGGCAGAGACCACACATTCCTCTGATTCAGGGTCCAGGGCTCTTTCCACAAGCTGAGCAACATGTTGGGCAGGCCGGAGAGATGTTTCAATTCTGTTTTCTTCATCTTAGACAGACATGCTATTTTCCCGCCTGCAGCCCCATCGATCTTCCTTCTGGGGCCTCAAGTTCTCAGGTGCTGCTATGGCGCCTGGTGCCTGAGTTTATGCCAAGGAGTGAAACACCGAAGTGCTGCCCCCTACCCCGGCTTAAATCTTTGTAAATCTGGGATATTCAACTGCACTACTATGGATGTTCTGGGCCAGTCACCTGTTCTGCGAGCCTGTCCTGGGCACTAGAGAGTGCTCAGGAGCCCCGGCCTCCACCCACATAGATGCCAGTAGCACCCCCTGACCTGTGACAAACAACAGTGTCTCCAGACACTGCCCTGTGTGACAGACCTGCCCCCGCTGGATAACCAGGTTTAGTTAAGACTTCGCTCTATGGAGGACACGGCACAGGCATGCGGTAGGCTAAGTGCCTTTCCACAACATCCCCCCTCCCGCCCTTCCAGGAGCTGAAGGAAGTCAGGAGAGAACCCGGGCATCCTGGTTTAGGGGAGAGCCTGGAGGCGTCCCAGCACCGCACTCGGCTCCGCGTCCTGAATCCTCCGAGTCTGAATAAACGCTAAGATCTGCCCACTGGGCTGATGCCTTCACTAGCCACCCGCATCATTTTTAGCTGCGGGACGAATTACACCTGGCCAGCTCTTACCTGGCAGGACAGCTCTGTCGGCCTCTCTGAGCCCCAGCCCGGGCCCCGGCCCTACCACTGTGCCTTGGCCTCTCCGCTTCTCCCATCACACCTTGTGCTCACACTCAGCCATCCGTGATGCTTGGGCCTGGCACAGGGGCACACACGTCTCTGGAACAACTGACTGTGCAAGGCCCAGGTAAGTCTAGTTTGTATCCAGGACGCTCAGCTGGCTGAGGGCGCGAGCCCCGAGCCCCGCAGAGACCCCAGCGGGCTCGGGAAGATCCATCACCAGCACGGAAAACCTACCGTCAGGGCCTGGACCGCCTCCCACTCCTGCGGAGACTGGATCTTATGGGCCAGCAGTCGGACAGCGATCTGCGGCCTGAAGACGAGCAAAACCACACCTTCAGGACGCTGACCCTTGCCCACCTGGCCAGCCCTCCTTTGCCAGTTTTTCACTTTCCCAGTCAACCGTCTCTCGCCTGCCCCCTAACAGTTCCGAGACTCACCCTTCAAGCTCCTTGTTGATCTGATCACAAAAGCCAATTATGTATTCCCAGTCCTCCTGGCGGTTAGAAGGATTGGTGGCTTTATCTGGGGAGAGAACGAAGATGACGACTGTTACAGAGAGCAAGGAGGACACCGTGGAAGGTTTTCCTCACAGTTTTAAGGCACTGATGTGAATTTCTTCTCTAATAGAGCAGACTCAATAGTTTAGTCAGACAACAAGTCAAATACAAATACTTGAAAAAAATTTTTTTCTGGTAGTGCCACATGGCTTCTAGGATCTTAGTTTCCTGACCAGGGATTGAACCTGGGCCCCAAGCAGTGACAGAGCAGAGTCTTAACCCCTGGACCACTACAGAATTCCCTACAAATATCGCTTTCTGTCCAGTATTCTGAACGTTACAAACGAAAGAGAAAACAAATCTGTAGCCTCTCATTTTAAGGTAAGTTAATGACGTTTACTGAGCCCTCTAAGCACAAATTGTGCTGTCCGTCCCTGGGGTCACAGAAACAGAATCTAAGCCTGAGCAATCAGCATCTCTGAGTTTAAATGGTCTTCCACGAACAAAGACAAAGACAAGCACTGAAGGGTCACCCAGGGTTTAAACTCCAGGAGGTGAATGCCAAGTCTCCTAACACGTGGTGTGTGTCCTCTCTTCTCAGTCATGCCCAGATCCTGTGCTTAGAGAGGACGGCCCCAGCTGAGGGTGGTTAAATGTGTTCCCATCTCTGATTCAGATCTTGGAGTCGGCCTCTTCCAGAAAGCACTCTCAAGCTGTTTGCTAAATTTAGGGCTTCAGGTTCAGAAGACGAATGGAAGACTGAAGGCGTGTATCCTTTTTAAAGTCCAGGCTCCTCCAGCAGATTTCCGCCAGGGCCAAAAGCAGAGTGAGAGCCTTGAAAAAACCCTTCCCAAAAAGGGTGATGTTAGACGTTCCTGAATTCTGATTGCTCGTGACTGTGTTTCTTCACTTCCCTTTTCCTAATGTTAAAAATCACTAGCTCCACACTCAAATCCTAACAGGGACTCCGAGCCAGCCCCATCCCCACCCAGGCGTCACGAGGCAGCAGACGCCACCCAGTGGCATAGGGAAGACCTGCAGCGCCCAGCGCTGTGTGTGCAAGGCAGCGTTCCTACTCTGGAGGCCAGAAAATTCTGGTGGTTTAGGATCATATTTGGAGGAAAAGAGAGATGTCAGTCCTAAGTCTTGAAAAGAGAATTAGCAGGCCCTTGAAAATGTCATGCTTGGAGGGAAGGGAGATAAATTCTATCAAGAGGGGCTATTTGTTGCCACAGGGACCTACTAGCTGTCACCCTCCAGAGAAGCCCTGAGTGCCAGAGAAGCATCCCGACCAGGTGCCTGAAATTTTCTCAGGTGTCAGGGTGGCTTTGTTACTGCTGCTGCTGTTAAGTCGCTTCAGTCATACCCGACTGTGCGACCCCATAGATGGCAGCCCACCAGGCTCCCCCGTCCATGGGACTTTCCAGGCGAGAGTACTAGAGTGGGGAGCCGCTGGCTTCTCCGGGCTTTGTTACTAATCCCTAGCATCTGAGATGCTTGGAGTTCCCATATGACATTAAGAGGGTGTAGGATACAAAAGTAAGATGGTTTGAGGAGCCATACCTGCCCCTGTCACTACAATCATTCTGGGAGCAGTCACACGCCTTCCACTGTTTGCCACTGGAAAAGCATGTCACAGACGCAGGGGACAACGTGCACAGCCCCTCCCCTCCCCACACACAGACACAAAGCCATGGGCGTTCACCAAAAATGTGTCCTGCCCGCGGCTGCCACGACTCCATTTCTGCTTCCAGGAACACTCCCACCTACTTCTCACTTTCGTTCGACATCTCGAGAACCCCACTTCCTGTCCCCCAAGAGACTCCCACCGAAAACCTGCAGGGAGCTCTTGGCCTACACATGAACACAAAGCCCTGGTTTCAGCCACGGTTCGCCCCACTTCTGAGTATTCTACCCCCCCCTCCAGCCAGCTGAGACAGCAGACCTCAGTCACCCACAGGAACTGCAAGAACCTCTGGAGATAACTTGGGGTGACTCAGGCACTCCATCTGCCCACTGCCTCCCGGCAGATGCACACACCCACCACCTACTCAACACTCTCCTTCACCTGCAGTGGAGGTGACGCCAGAACCTCCCCTGCAGATCCTGCCTTCCAGAACCGCCCCTCGGGACTCCAGGTTTCTATTCTGGGGTCTCTGTTGAAAGCCTTATGCTAGTCTGTGTCTCTGCCTTTATACATCCTGCTCTCATTTTCAACTCAATTCAATCACTAGCCATGACTGTCGTGGGACCTCTCTTCCAGGAGGGAGGGGAACAGCATTGGCCACCCCGCCCCAACACAGCTCAAACAGTCCAGTGACAAGTTCCACGTAGCAAGGATAAGGATGGAAGAGAAGTCAAGTGTCAAACTTTAGTGCGAAGGTCTTGAATCAAGGAAGACTTAGTCAACCACCAAGTCTTTTGTTAAACAGCCACAGAAAACTAAGTAGACAGCAAGTTAGGCCCTGGAGGAACCACAGGAAAAATACAAGACTCGGATCCTACCCTTGAGGAGGTTACGCTCTTCTGGTGCGACGCATGAGAAACAACCAGAGCAAAACAAGACAGGGTGTAATTATAAGTGCTCACTTGGTGCAGAAACGAGTCTAAAAACACTCATCATTTCTCCTCCCTGACTTCCCTATTTCTATAAATGGTGCTACCATTCCAAGGCTCCTTTTGCCCCCAACCCCAGGCACCCAGGTCTGAAGGCTCCGTCTTCCCTCTCCTCATCCAATTTCATTAGTCAGTCTTAATCTCTTCCTTCTCCATGTCTTTACTATTTTTTTCCCCCCTCGAGGCTAGTAGGGTCTTAGCTCCTCTACCAGGATTGAGCCCCGGCCCTCGACAGTGAAAGCGTGGAGTTCTAACCACTGACCTGCCAGGAAATTCACCTCAATGTCTTTTTGTGTGCTGTGCTCAGTCGCGTCCGACTCTTTGCAACCCCATGGACTGTAGCCCACCAGGCTTCTTTGTCCGTGGAATTTTCCAGGCAAGAATACTGGAATTGGTTGCCATCTTCTACTCCAAGAGATCTTACTGACCCAGGGATCAAACCTGAGTCTCTTGCCTCTCCTGCATTGGTAGGCATATTTTTTTACCACTGAGCCACCTGGGAAACCACAGTGTCTTTTTAAAACTGTTTTTTTTACTCCTGCCCTGACCTCCTGATTTCTCACTTGCTTCCAGAACTTCTGCTCCAATCCATCCTATGTAAAACACCTATAGGAACCTTCCCAGAACACTGACTTAACAGGTACAGTATGAATGGAATCTCTTAACTGGAGACACAGACTTCTTGGAGTGGAATTGGAGCCGGTCCAGAGTTTGGCTCTTCCTAGCTCTCTTCCATGTTCCTACAGGAACGCCCTGCTTGAGTCAAACGTCTGTTACTGCATGCCCCAAACACGGTCTGCTCCCTCCACACCACTGTTTTCTTAGCCTATTTTCCCATTCTTTAAGGCCCAGCTCAAGTGCCATCTCCCCATTGGGAGAACCATCTCCCATTTCACTTATCCCCAATTTCCCAAAATAAACTGTCTGTATTTTAGCATTTATGGTTCCTGCTTTTTTACTTAAAAATGCTTTATCCACTCCAGCACCACTATCATCAAACTAAAGGCAAAGCCTTTGAACTTAGTTTTCATTAACACCTCACACAGTAGGTATTCACTAAGCACTGATTAACTGCAGTAATGACAGGACGTGAGAGAAGGCTGAAGTCATCAAGAGATGGTTTATGGGGAAGGAGATGCCGGGATGGGTTTCAAAGCATGTAAAGGAGCACAGGGGAACAGGGCTTTCGGGAAAGGAGAGGAATGTGTGTTGGTGGGACAAGAACATCCAGCTGACCGAAGCAAGGAAGAATACCAGGAAGTCACAGAGAGGCAGAGGGGAGCAGCAGTGCAATGACCTGAGTAAGCAGAAGGGTTCTTCTGGGAGCAGAATTGGGCTGGGGGGGAGACCTGAGACCTGTCCAAAATGTCACTCTATGTAACAGGAAAGGGTCAAAGGCCAGTCTCAGCTCTGGTCTCTACAGATACCCTCCCTCTCCCCCATCACCATCTCCACTCTTCCTCAAAAACAGGTCTAAACTCTAAACCTAGCCTATCAGACTCAGCTGAGGTCATTTAAATTTCTCTGAAGTCCCCATTAACATCTGTAAATGGAACCAATTCCAGAGTATTTACATACAGTTGGGTGGCAATACTTTGGCCACCTCATGCAAAGAGTTGACTCACTGGAAAAGACCCTGATGCTGGGAGGGATTCGGGGCAGAAGAAGAGGACGACAGAGGATGAGATGGTTGGATGGCATCACCGACTCGATGGGCATGAGTTGGAGTGAACTCCGGGAGTTGGTGATGCACAGGGAGGCGTGGCGTGCTGCGATTCATGGGGTCGCAAAAAGTCGGACACGACTGAGCGACTGAACTGAACTGGGTGGCTCTGGGCAAGTGAACTGATTAGAGCCAAGGTGTCCTCTTTTGTGACACTGTGACACCAGTACCTACTTTGCTAGGATTCTTGATAAATGAACGTCTTTGGAGCACTCTGAGCTCCTGGGAGAACAGTTCCATATACACAGAAGACTTTGTGACCTGCCTGCAACTGCAGACCTTGCAAATGTAACCTACGTTCAACCACCTGAACAGGGCTTCTTATGAAGGGGAGTCAGGCAATTGGAGGAAGCGGGCATCACCCCTCAAGAGGCTGCAGGCTCTAGTAAATAACTGACAATACACAAGGCAGCGTCTAGGTTCCAGCCTTCTTATCACCCTGCGCAATTTGTCTTCACTTAAACAGGCCTCCAGGGGCCTCCTCTAGCCCATACTTACTAAACTCAACGTATTAACCCTTCGGCCAAATGCAACCTGCTAAGGTTATCCTGTATTTCCTCAACAGCAGTATGAGTGAGCAATCATAGCAATAGGCCGCTATAACTACTGTATCAGGCTGCGTCTCTCAGCTTTGCTGAGTAGTTTACCAACGAATGACTCGTTAAGACATACGGGGGGTGGGGAGAAGGGTCCCGCAACAGAGCTTTCATCATGCTTCGGTTACTGCAGGGAAAAGTACTCTTTTTTTTCCTCTCTCTCTGGATTATTTTCACTTCAAACATTCAGCCTGCGCGAAGCAGTCACTTCTGGAATACACGGTCAAAATTCTGAAGCTATGTGGGTATGCACAGCACCAGCCACCGCTCCCGGAGGTTCAGCCCCAATTCGGAGCTTTCCCCTTCGTCGGAAGAGCGCAGGGGTCCCGGAGTCACGGCCTTGCGCGGCCCCACCACAGTTTCCCCAAAGCGCCGATGCATGTCAGCCTGAAGCACTTGGCTGTCACTTTCCCGGAGCCCGCGTGGCCCGAGCTCACCGCGCAGGGCGTAGGAGCGAGATGAGGCGCCGCGGCTCAGAGAGCACGGGCCGGGCGCCCCCGCTGAGGAAGGGGCGCGATCCCGGGGCGCTCGCGGCACGAGCGAGGCTTGGCGCGGGCTGCCGGGCGGCGCCACCGCACGGCCGGGGGAGGGGACCGAGGGCTGGGGAGAGGGGCGGCTCGAGCGCGAACAGACTCGGCCGCGGATACTCACTCAGCCAGGACTCCAGACTCTCCCCTTCCGCCTCCGCCATATTGCAGCCGCCCGGGCCGGCCCAGCGGCCTCAAACCTCGCGAGGACCTGAGAGAGATGAGCCGGGGCGGGGCCTGCATAGGGACCTGAGAAGACCGAGCGCCGCCGCCTAGGATCTTGCCAGGCTGCGACGGATAATGCGAGGGCGAGCGTTTCCTTTTTGACTATCCGCCTTAGACCTCTCAGTGAGAGACTCTTCAGACCCAGATTAACAGGGTGATGCGCAGATCTAGGACCCTGTAGCTCTTTTCCCCTGTCTTCAGTCACTCGCTCAGGCACGCCGAGGGCAGTCTCCGTGGGGTCCTGCTGGTAGCCAAGATGGCTGCCCCCACGGTGAAGGTTGCGCGAGGGTGGTGGGGCTTGGCTTTCGGCGTGCGGAGGACTGTCCTGCGGCTTCCAGGGTGAGAGGGTGGCGGGCAGCTGGGAGGCCTCTTGGGTCTTCACGGAGAGACCTGCTGGGAAGGAAAGAGGGGTGCCACAGGCAAGCCTCGCGGGGACCTGGAGAGAGCCTTGGGGGGCCGGGGTAACTGAGTACAATCCTCTTTAACCCGCTGCGTGAGTTTGGGTCAGTCTGAAAGCTTAGTAGTTGCTCCCTGCCTGAGAAATTCTCACTTGGATCTGAAAGTGTGATCTTTTTAAAGAACTCAGAACTGGGGTTTCCTTTGCTGGGAGGTGGGGGGAGAGGTGCATAGGCGAATTGTCTATCCTGACGTTCAGGAGCCTGTTTTTACTGTTGGCACTTGAGCAGCAGACCTTCCTGGCCTCTTTAGGGGAGGTCCTCCTACCTCTTGGGACAAGAGCCAGAATTCCTGCAGCTCAGCTTTGTCTGGCGGTCTCCCCGCTGCTCGCTTGGCGGCGGTTTGGCATACATGCCTATTGTTAAGTCAAGCCTTTTCACTTGAGTCAGCTTTTGCCCTCCACTTCCTCCCCCCCCCCCCCCCCCCCCCCCCGCCGCCAGGCTAACCCAAGTGAGGTGGAGCCGCTATGGCCCTGAATACCAGGATCCTCAGATTGACAAGGAATATTACCGCAAGCCCTTGGCCCAGCTGACTGAGGAGGAGACGTATGAGCGGGAGCTCAGGAAGACTCAGGTTATCAAAGCTGCCCCAGCCACGAAAACAAGCTCCGTGTTTGAAGACCCAGTGATCAGGTTAGCAGAAAACAAACTTTTGTTCCACAGAGTGGGACTATACGGGGGAAGGCGGAAGGATATACAGTAAGGATTCTGTGACAGCCTTGGGAACCTAAACATCTTTTTCTTCTTAAAGTAAATTCACCAACATGATGATGAAAGGAGGAAACAAAGTACTGGCCAGATCCCTCATGACACAGGTAAACAGTATCTCTTTGTCATCTTTGTTTTCCCCGTAGTTTTGTGTTTGGCTATTTCATCTTAACATAAAAAAGAATGGATTTTGTACCTGTCATTAAAATGAGTTTCTCTGTACTTACGTGTGGGAGTAGAGGCTTTAAGAAGTCCTACAGGAGTCAACCACTGCCATCCCCCAGCCCCACATTACAAATCTTCGCTCATTCTTCTGTCCTGGTCCAGGGTTTTTGTTTCAGAAGTACTAAGGGAATAGCTGGGCAGCTATAGAAGAACAGGATGATGGGAGTAAAGGGCAGGGTCCTAGCCCAGCTGGGTGAACCCTTTAGGGACTCTGGGGCATCCTCTTCCACTGTATCCCTTTTCAGACCCTGGAAGCTGTGAAAAGGAAGCAGTTTGAGAAGTACCATGCTGCTTCTGCAGAGGAACAGGCGACCATCGAACGCAACCCTTACACCATCTTCCATCAAGCACTGAAAAACTGTGAGCCTGTGATTGGGCTGGTACCCATCCTCAAGGGGGGCCATTTCTACCAGGTGAGTGGTCAGAGTGGGAAAGCAGGGCTGCTCATATGTGAAATGGTGGGGGTAGATTGGGGGTACTTAGAGTTGGACCCAGATTGATAGCTTTCTTGGGACTGCAGAGTGCCAAGGTCTTCTCATCTCAGTCCCATGGAATAAAGATTACAGGCAGAAGATGGAAGAGAGCCAAAAAAGTATCTAAATGACCTCTTTAGAAGGTTCACAGTACTTCCGCCATTGCCCCTTCTGTCCAGCATTCTGTGTTCCAAACTATAAGTTTCTGACGGTGAGAAGCTATGTTTATACCTCATCTTTATACATCAGTGTCTAACATAGTGTTTGATGCTTCATCACGGTTTAACTGAACTAGATGAAGTGAAGCATTAGTCGCTCAGTTATGTCCAACTCTTTGCGACCCCGTGGACTGGGGCTTGCCAGGCTCTTCTGTCCATGGGATTCTCCAGCCAAACTTATTGGAGTGGGTTGCCATTTCCTTCTCCAGATCTTCCTGACCCAGGGATCGAACTCAGGTCTGCTGCATTGCAGGCAGAGTCTTTACCATGTGAGCCACCAGGGAAGCTAGCATTTAATCACAGTTCATTGTCATAAGTGGTTTTTCTTTCTTTTTTTTTTTTAAATATATATTTTAAAAAATAAATAAATAAATAAATAAATAAAAATAAAAAATAAAATATCTCTTTCCTTTTTCAGTGTAAACCTCATAAGGGTACTTTCTTGATGCCTGTGTCCCTAGGGTCTGGCGAGAGACCTGTTTCTAGACACTCATGATCTGTGTTGGCTAAATCATGCCAGCTGACAGGGCTTTTCCCAGTGGTGCTTTTATCAACTTGGCTGAACTCCCTTTAGAGTGAAGGAGGCCAGTGCTCAAGAAGTGTTTGTTTGATGAATGCCTGTGTCTGCTGCACTGAGGTCAGCCAGGGGCGAGAGGAGCTCAGAGAGGAGCAGTCAGGCCCTCCTCCTCAGCAGCCTTGCCAGGGCTGACCCCGAGTGGAGATGTGGCTACTTATCACAGCTCTGGCAGGAAGGAGGCTGCAGTCCTGGCAAGTTCTCAGACTGACTTGCCCTGTCCCGCCTTGCCCAGGTCCCCGTGCCGCTGGCTGACCGGCGTCGCCGCTTCCTGGCCATGAAGTGGATGATCGCTGAGTGTAGGGAGAAGAAGCCCCGGCGGATGCTGATGCCGGAGAAGCTGTCTCAGGAGCTGCTGGAGGCCTTCTACAGCCGGGGCCCTGTGATCAAGAGAAAGCACGACATGCACAAGATGGCCGAGGCCAACCGCGCGCTGGCCCACTACCGCTGGTGGTAGAGTGTGGGCGGGGCGTCTGGGGAGACGGCAGCATGATCTGCTGCCGAACAGTGTGAGCCGCTGCGCCACTGCAGAACGCCTGTGGGTTAAGGGCCAGCGGACCTCCTGACAAGCACGGAGCCGCACGTCCGTTGCCTGTTAGTCATTTCTCTAGGGGCTGGAACTTGCTCTCCCTGTCCCATCTTCTTGGAAAGAGGGGGCATATCAAGTTGGATTTCCTCCTAAGAAACCTAGGGCTCACCCAGCCTTCTCTTCCTTCAGCTTGGGGTGGACCTTTGGGTAATATGAAGAGAAGCAGTTTTAGTATCAGAAAGAGTTTATTAGAAAATTCTCGTCCTGAGCTGGTGTAACACATGATATGGTATTACGATTCATTAAAACCAACTGGAGGAAATACGCTTGGTTCTAAAGTGGTCCTTGTACAGAATGTATAAAAAGCAGTCACTGGTGTGACTCTGCCTGTCCCGTTTGATATCCCTAAGTGTCCCCACCAATGGCTCTGGGAACCCATTTTACAGGTGGGGAAACTGAGGCACCAAGATAGCTATTGCACTGATGGTTCCACAGGGCAGTGCTTGTCAGGAGTTGCCCAGGTCAGAGGTGAGGGGAGAGAAAGGCTGGTGGGATTGCGGGGCAGGTGTGCTTCTGTCTTCCCCAATCCTGGAATCGGAGGGAAGGTGCTCAGGGCAGGACCACTGCATTAAGTGGGAAACATCTCGGGTGCTCCTGAAAGTCTGGAAGGGAAGAAGTCTTTGGCAGAGGTGAAGACTCCACTGCCAGGTTGGAAGGTGGGTAGAAGAAAGGCCGGCACTCCTGGGGAGGAAGCCTGGAGGCCTAGTCAGAGAGCTCGCTGTAGTAATATTTGTGGGCGGCCGGGGTGGTCTTCCAGCCGGCTGCCCGGAACTCGATGATCTCCAGCAGCAGCAGCTGGGCCAGGGAGCTGAGGCCAGCTGGGAGCAGGAAGCCATCCCGGATCAGGACAAAGAGCTCATCCATGCGCTGCCCGTTCATCTTCTCCAGCTGCTCCCCGACCCGATGCAGCTGCAGCACCAGGCAGTCCACCTGCAGGGGCAGCAGGAGGCGACCCCGACACGGGCCCCCCGTCACACACACAGCAGCCATTTACTGAGCGCTCACTGTGCCAGGCTCTGGGCTCGGCCTGTGCACACGTTTCCCCGTTTCATCCTCACACGACCCGGTGGGCACCGTCTCTGCCTCACATGAGAGGAGCAAGCTCAGAGACTTGCCTCAGACCTCTCACCGGGGCCAGGGTGGACACAGGCCCCGTCCCCAAATGCTTCTCAAGCCCACTCCCCCTGCCCCCCGCCCCGGGTTGGTTTCTGGGCCACCAGTATCCACAGCTGCTTTCCTACTGGGAACACAGCCTCTGAACCAGGAGGTCCTAGCTGCGCTGCGCTCCAGATAACCCCAGACCTAGCAGTCTGTCCTGTAACCCCGACAGGCCGTGAACACCCCCACCAGGTTCCTGCCCCACAAGTGAGTCTCCATGGACAGGGGCAGGCACTCCAAATTGAGCCCACCTCCGCAGTCTTTAGTGGCAGGGCCACTCACCTCCTCCTCCTTGCTCAGGCTGTCGGGCTGGGCCAGCCGGAAGAGGCAGTCGTATACGGGGTTCACCAGGGCCATCATGGGCATGTTGTTCACCTGCAAGGGGAGAGCAGGGGCCAGAGCACTGGCTTAGTGGCGCAGGAGACAGGTGGGCCGCCTCTGCTGCACCGGGTGTGGCTGGCGGGGCCTCACCCTCAGGTAGTCAAAGATGTTGCAGATAAAGGTGACGTAGCAGACCCAGCCCTGCAGGGAGCGGGCACGAAGCTGCTCCCGAGTCTGGTACTCCTGCTGCAGCCGGTTGAGGAGTCCACGGCGGAAGACACTCTGGCCCGCTTGCTTGCTCTCTGCCTGTGAGCCAGGGAGAGGGAAGGGCAGTCCCGGGGCCCAAGCTTCCCAGGCCGAGGCCCCTGCTGTCCTCCTCTCTTGCCTCTGAGGCCAGCCCTTTGCATCTCTGCCCTGCTGGCCTCTGCCCACTTCAGAAGCACCTTCCTCAAAGCGTCTCCCCTTCTCTACCAGCCCCACCCAACCTGAATGATGGCGTAGCACATGCGTCCTGCTTCCTTGCTGAACACACTGTCCTGCAGAGAATGGTCCACAATCACATTGGCCACTTTCTCCAAGTCCACGGCACCTGGATCTAGGGTAAAGACAGGTGGGGAGTCTAGAGCTGCTTAGTTATATATGCCTCCACCTGCTTCTAAAGGATTTGAGGTGTTCACTGAGGAGCACTCCCATTATATACTTCCACTGCTGGGAAAGACTGAGGGCAGGAGGAGAAGGGGACGACAGGGGATGAGACGGTTGGATGCCATCACCGACTTGATGGACATGAGTTTGGGTAATCTCCGGGAGTTGGTAATGGATAGGGAGGCCTTGCATGCTGCAGTTCGTGGGGTCACAAAGAGTCGGACACGACTGAGCAACTGAACTGAACTGAAAGAGGGAATTCCCCAGAGGTCCAGCGTTTAGGACTCTGCTTCCATTGCAGGGAGCGCTGGTTCGATCCCTGGTCAGGGAACTAATCCTGCAAGCCATGCAGTTCGGCCAAAAAAAAAATAGAGAGATCAGAAAACAGGAACCATCACACAGGAGCAGCTGCGGCCATGAGCCACCTGGCGGCCCAATCAGAGAAAACAGGGTCATGTGACTGAGAAAGAGTCAAAGAGCGCTCAGTTTTTTTAGGACACGTCTTTTCCTGGCACTAGGTTGAAGATGGAACACTGACAACCATTTCATGGAAGAAGGTATTCTTACAACACACACATGAACCCCTGACAAAAGTGGGCCAGGGAGGGCCTCTCTGCAGGCTTAGCTTGGCACGCTACGGGCATTGCTAATAGTTCGCTGAGTCAAACTTCTGTCCTGAGTGCTGCGGGAGGGCCTTGGCCCAGGACAGTTAGTGGAGCTCTTCTGCCAAGCAGAACACTCCATCTTCTGTCCCAAGTCATGCAGCTCCGCATATTCAAGAGAGGGGCTACAGCAATGCAGAAACCAGGTCCAGCGTAAGGACTTAAGGGGCAGGAACTGGTTTTTCTGTGCCTCACCCTCCTTTCCTGGGTACTTTAGAAGCACTTTACAGTCTGAGGGGTGACTATGATCTATGATTCGTACTTCCAAATACTAGCCTAAATGTCTTCCAGTTCCAGAATTATGTTGCGGACTCCTTCTCTCAGAAAGTGAAGGGATAGGGTGGCGCATTCCCAGGCTCAGCCCAGTCCTCTGGTCCTGTCCCCCTCTCTGGTGCTCTGGAGCAAGGCTCAAGGGGCTCCCCGTGCTCACCTTTGAGAGCTGTCTTCAGCAGCTGCTGGGTCTCTTCATCAAAACACTGGATTTTATACTCCTCTCTACCCGGCTCCCCCATGACTATCCAGCCGCAGCAGCTCTTTACTGGGGTGGGACTAAGGACAGCACCTGGGTGGGGGGAGAGGCGAATGGAGAGGTCTTAGGTGTGGAGCTCAGAGGCAGGGCTCCCAGCCCTATGGCCCCTGGATAGGGCTGGGCAGTCCATGGCATTCAGATGTTGGCTGGGCGCCCACCAAGCTTGGCTTCTGGTGGAGACTGGGCACCAGCCAGGCACCTGCTGCTCAGTTAAAGAATCCTGATAGTCTCTGGGATTACCAAGAGTAAAGAGATGAAGGGTGAATGTGTCTGCCCCCTAGTCTGCCTCAGGGTTATCCTTTGGGATACCAAAGCTGGGGTGGGGTCTAGTGCACTGAGATGCGGGGGTGGATGCGTGGATATCAGACACTTTCCACGCCTGTAGAAGACGACCTAGAAGCTACTGGTCCACCACGGCTCCCGGCGAGTGAGAGGGCCGGGGCTCCAGGCTGTGGGCATCTGTCCCAGCAGGGTTGCAAGCCCCTCTCCCCATCCCTCTCCCTTATGTCAGAGTCCTCAGCCCAGAAAGCCCAGCCTCGGGCTGGGGCCGGCCAGAGGGCTGGGTGCCGCCTTGACTCCCCTTGTACCGGCCAGTTTCTCCCCGGGACGGACTGGTTAAACTGGCCTTCCAAGGGGCAGAAACCTGGTCCTGCCCTCTCACGAGGGGGGTAGTGATGAGAGTCCTGAGCTCCATTCTGAGCCTTCTTCTTAAGGAGGGGAGAGAGGTGACGTGGCCCCCAAAGGTGGTCCCCGCTGGAGTCTCCCCTCCGGACTCGGCGCCTCCCCCCCCCCACCCCACCCCCGGCCAAAGGAGCGGATCTTAAGGGTCTCCAGGCCTGGGCAGCTTTCCTAAATCCGGAACGCCCTTCCCGGCGGCTCAGTGGAGCCCGCCGTCCGGTGTCCCGCGAGCTGTAGGGGTGGCGAGAGAGCCGGCGACCCACCTGCCGCGCCGGCGCCGCGCCCGCGTGCCCGGAGGCCGCTCGGCCGACATCGTGCGCGCGCCCAGCGTCCGCGGCGCTGCAGACTGGGCCGCTGGCGCCTCGCCGCCGCTGAGGTCATTTCCTAGCGCTAGGGAGGGGCGGGGCCTCGGGCGGCGGGGCGGGGTCGCTCACGAGCGCCCCCTGCCGGAGCCTCGACGACGCTGCCCTCGCCAGCTGGCCGCGCCAGCTCAGAGGTTCCAGCCGTGGGACGGCGTAGGACGCCCGCGACACTTGCCCCATCGCCCCCTTCCGCTCCTCACCTCGTTCTCCCCGGGCCTGTCCGGGACCACGCCGGCTCGCGGGCGCCGGGTCGGACCTGCTCCTCGGCCTGCGTGAAGCCCTCGGTCTTGAGTGGGGGCACCCACCCCGCCCCGCCCCACGCCGGGGCTGAAGTTAAAATGGGGTCAGGAGCCCGGCCAGCGGCGTAGGAGGGGCCTGCGGGGGGCGCGGTCCGCAGCCGGGCGATAGGCGCGGGGAGCAAGGTGGAAGGGCAGAGCAGACGGCGGGAGGGGCCGGACCTCACAGGCGGTAGGCCCGGGCTCCCCGCCCCTCCGCCCCGACCCGAGGTAGAGAAAGCGAGGAAGCCGTCAGGTCTAGATTGAGTTCCACGAAGCCCCCCCCCCCCCACTCCAAGTACAAACGGTATTGGTAAAATAAATTGACAATCAATGAACCAACGCAAGAGAAAGGGGTCCCTTTGCCAACTTTTGGTGCCCCAGGAGTTGGGAGTGACCCTGACATTGAGCTTCCCCGAGGGTTCAGACGGCAAAGAATCTGCCTGCAATGCAAGAGACCCAGGTTCATTCCCTGGGTGGGAAAGATCCCCTGGAGAAGGAAACGGCAGCCCACTCCAGTATTCTTGCCTGGAAAACCCCATGGACAGAGGAGCCTGGCGGGCTACAGTCCACTGCGTCACAGAGTCAGACATGACTGAGTAAACACATCCACATCCTGACTGATGGATGAGCAAGCGCCTGGCTCAGTCCGTCTTGGTCTGGGCTTGGGGAGACGTGTGGGCTCAGCAGCCCATACAGGCTAGGTCGGAGGTCAGCCCTGCGCCACAGGAAGGCATACAGGAGAAACTGGGAAAGAACTGCCTTTTCCTGTAGCTTGGACAAGAAAGATGTGTTGATGGTGATTTCTGTATCCAGGGCTCGCTTCTCCTGCTCACAGAGCTGCCAAAGTGGTCACCAGAAAATGGATCAAGGAAGAGCACCTCAGCTGCCGAGAAAGAAAACCAATGAGCGGAGAGCTGAAGAGAATAAAGTTTACTTCCATGGATATCAAAAAAATACATTCGGACAGCGGCCCCCTTGGGCAGCCGCAAGCCTTGACTGCCAGACACCCTCCAGCCACCTGTGGACCTTCATAGTCAGCAACCAAGGGCAGGGAGGCTCCAGGATTCCAGGTACCAGACCAGAGAGGACACAGTAATGGTGAGAAGGGGCCCAGGACCCCGGGAGAGCCTTGACGCCCACCCACGGCTGCTCCTAGCTCCCGCCTTCCTCAGCCGTCAGTGCCAAGGCTGGAGCCAGAGTCGACGTGAGGTCAGGGGAGCAGCCCCTGCGCGGGGCTCCCCCTGCACAGCCAACCTCTAGGGCCATGCTCCCCAGCGGGTGGTTATTCTGTGATTCTCTTCTCCTTTCGTACCCCTGGCTGTGTCTAGACGTGGGCTCCTGTGCCTGGCAACTGCCAGGGCACCAAGCGTGTCCGCAGCAGGCAGCCTGCTCAACCTCTTCCTGCGGGGATTGCAGAGTATGCACCCAGTGCCATGCTGGACCCAGGCGCTCACGAGAGGGCAGCTGATGTCCACTGGCCCAGCTGTAAGCTCCTACCCACTCAGGAGGGCTAACCTAGGGTCCAGTGAAAGAGGAGTGATACTGCGAGACTGAGGCAGAGGGCTGCTGCCTTTACCCACACCCCCGCCCCGTCGGCACACCCCCACTGCCGGTGGTGCCGTTGGGATCAGCTTTCCCTAGAGGCCCAGGGGCTGGGACCAGTCCCGCCCATGGAGAGAACAGCCTGAGTGGTGCCTTTATAGACACGGAGATCTGAGTATGGTGGAGTTTTTATATAGAGACCAATTCAGCTGGATTCTTCCCTTAGAACAAGCAGCAGAGCTGCCTGAGGGACACAACAGCTGAGTGAAATAGAATGCAGGGAAGGCAGGACTCCCTTCCTCCAGCTTTGGGAGGAGGGATGTGATTTGGAAGGGACGGTGGAGGGGAAAGACTGCTTTCAGCTTTAATGTCTATTAAATAGGTGGTGGGAGTAAGCGTGGGGACCCTGTATGGGGCCCAGTCCCAGCCTCACGCTCACCCTGAGGGCCTGCCCAGAGTCAGGAGGGCTCTCTGGGCAGCCGGGGCTCAGGAGGAGGGCAGCTGCTGCCCCCAGTGTCCGCCAGACAGATGAACACCCAGCTCCTCCTGATGGGCCTCCCGATGCTCTCCCCTGGAGAACCCCGGTGCCCTTCCGGTGGAATCCCGACGGCTCTTCGTGCCTGGGACAGCTGGTCTGGAGGGAAGGACCAGGCAGCGCCTCTCTGTGCAACAGGAGACTGTTGATTGAGTCTTCTTCCAGGAGGGGAAGACCTCAGGCCACCCTTCCTGCCCTCGCGGCTAGCTGTCTGCCTTCCTCATGTGATGGAATAAGTTACAGAAGAGCTCGTACCAGAAGAACACCAAGCCGGTGGAGAGGGCAGCCTTCAGCAGGCTGGGGGACAGGCCTTTGAAGCAGCCCTGTGCCCCCTCCTCTCGCAGCACCTGCCCGGCACAGTCCAGGAGACCCTTGTAGCTTCGCACCTGGGGAGAGGAAGGGTACCCTGGTTGAGGAGCGAGGAGGGGATGGACATGTGGATGTGGGCTCTGTTTTTCTGTCAACACAGGGCCTGGCACATTCAAGCTCCCAGCAGATAGTTGCTGGAAGAAGCAATGAATGCCAAGAAGATGGAAGAAGTGAACCTCATTCTTTCTCTTCCAGCTGGGCTAATTCAGGCTTCGGAGAGGAGGGGCGTGGAAATCAGCACCGGACAGAGCTCCTTCCTGCCGGGGAAGTTCCCACTGACGGAGGCTCTTCAGGACCAGTGAGAGCTCTGGACCCTCTTCCCAGGGATGCTCTGACCGTGTGCCCCATCACTCCCTGCCCTCCTTGGGCAGTAGATCTGAATCTGGTCCTTGTGAGCTCTGAGCCTGACCGGTGTCACCAGGCTGGTCACCTCCAGTTGACCACAGACGGCTGCTGTGTCCCCAAGACACGGCTCAGCTCAAGCCTTGCTCAATCCCCAATGCTCCAGGAACTCCGGACAATGATGATCAAGAATCTAGTCCAAGCCACGTGGCCTGGTGTTCAGGGCCTTCCACCATTTGCCCTCAACGTCCCTCCCGGATCTGCCTTTTATCTCCCACTGGTCCACTCACGGCGCCCCCGCCTCCAGCCATACCTCTCACCCTACATCTCCGTTGGGAGCAGGGCCTCCCTCCTGGGTCCTGGGCTCTCACCAGCTCTCCCTGTCCAAAGTCAAACCATCTCTTCAAACCAAGCTGGTAAGTGGAAAGAGGAGGTTATAAAACCTTGTGTATGACCCCAGTTTTTGTTAAAATGTCCATGTGTTTTCTTCTGCAAAGAAACAAAACGGCAATGTGGATGGACCTAGGGGGTGTTATGCTTAGTGAAATAAGTCAGAGAAAGACAAATAGTGTATGTTATCACTAATGTGTGGAATCCAAAAAAATAAACTACTGGTGACTACAGGGACGTGGGGAGGGGCAGGTGAGGGGTAGGGGATTAAGAGGTAGAAACCACTATAAAATAAATTACCAAAAATAAATAAATAAATAAAAATAAAATAAATTACGTGGGACCTCCCTGGAGGTGCAATGGTTAAGACTCCATGTTTCCACTGCAAGTGGTGAGGGTTTGATCCCTGGTTGGGGAACTGAGATTCCACGCAGAGCCAGGAAATAAAAATTAAATAAATAAGCAACATGGATATACTGGGCAGCACAGGGAAATGTGGCCATTATAATTTTAAGTGGAATATAAATTATAAAAATATTGAATCACTATGTTATACACCTGAAACTAACACAGAATTGCAAATCAAGTATACGGCAGAGCGGGGGAGAGGAAGAGAGAGAGAGAGAGAGGAAGGAAGAGAGAGAAATCCCGCAGCTAAAGGTTCCGTGTGATCCTCTTGGGGTGGGTGGTGTTGGATTTACCTGTGATTTCATCTTCCTTTTTGTCTAACTTCTCTGAAGTTTTCTACAAAGAAACTGTATTACAATTTGTAAACCCACTTCTTTTTCTCTCCCTGAGTAAGGCGTGCACTCTTCTCTTCCTGATTCCCATTCCACACCCTCTCGCTCCTCTGCTGTCTGTCAGGCACGTTTCTTCTTGCTGTGACATCCCAGGGTCCCAGGTTCCAGAGGGAAAGCCTTGAAATCACCCAGCCCTGCCCTCCACTGCCCCACCACCTACCACCTTGGCCTTTCACAAAATCAGTGCCCCACAAGGAGCAGATGAAAACCCAGTATGTGAAAATGGCAGCAGATTAAGGAATGACTGTTAACATTACAAAATTACCTACTACGAGGCTTCTCTGATGGCAAACCCTTCTAGTGCATTTAAAATATAATTTAGTTGGTCAGATTTAATTCACCCCTATCCTGGGATACCTACAGCATAAAAGCAAAGAACCCCATACACCAGTATGAGCCTCCTTCTCCGTGTTCTGTGATATCTTGGAGACCTTTCTTATGTGAGTAAACTCTTGGTCCCAAAACTAACTGAACACTTTGTAAGAACACAGTCCGAGTGTGCCTTCTCCTGGGTCTCTGCGTGGTGCCAGACACACGCAAGGCTTTGCCTCTGTCTTCCCGTGTGCTCAGGGGTCTCCGGTGTGAGATAAAAATTCAGATTTCAGGGCAAGACAAGACAAATTTAAACATAAAAATTCTTCTCCGCTCTTCAGCCGCCCTCTCCCTGAACTGTGCATCACGTTATCTGTATTTTGTGTTGACCAGACCTTTCCCATAGGTGGGAATACCTGCCCAAGCATACAGAGCTACAGTCTCCCAGCATCGACAAGGCAACTCCTTAAAGATAACATTCTTTCTTGAGCTCATAAGGGGTCATGTGACCCACTATGATGGTGCTTAGATCCGGATTATGCAAAGGGTCAATAACATTTGATGCACAGCCCTCTATCTCAAAAAAACTTAATCAAAACTGTGTCTCAACATCTAGCAGGCAGGACAGTTCTCAGAGCTTTCTGAGATGCTCTTCCCACATTATAATCCTCAATTTTTCCAATTCTTTCTTAGATCAACTTTTTTTTTTTTTTAAATACAGTACAAATACTGCATGAATTTGCTTGTCATCCTTGCACAGAGGCCATACTGATCTTCTCTGGATCATTCCAATTTTAGTGCATGTGCTCCCCAAAGCGAGCGCTGATTAAATTTCCATCGACACCAGGGCCAGGTTGCGGGTGAGAAGGCTGGGGGAGCTGAAGCTGCCTGATGGGCAGGTGCCGACCCTCGTTCCCTCACACGCCCGGTGAACAGCCAAGATCAGAGCTGTCTGCGGGGGGTACGGCTCACCTGGCCAAAAGAGGCTCGGGCCTGCTCAAACCCTCCGACCTGCAGCCGTTTCTTAAAGAGGTCCAGCGGGTACGTGAGGGTCTTGCTGATGATGCCAGCTCCGCTGCCACAAAGCAGGTTTTTGAAGTTCCCTGGACCAGAGATGTGGGATGGAGGGGGAAAAGGAGAGAAATGCAATCTAGGGTAAATTTCAAGGTTATACATTCTAATTCTGGGCCATAAAACAAAACCCTACAAGCATCCTCAATCTCAGAAGGATTTAACCCTGGAGTGAGAGAAACAGATGCAGTCCCTTTCATCAAGGATGACGACGGACTGCAGGTTGGACAAGCTGGTGGCAGAAGGGGTGTGAGCCTGGAACACGCGTCGCCCCAGCAGGAGGCAATCGGGGCCTGCAGGCTCTGCCACGTGACCCAGGTCATGCTCGGGAGGGAACAGGATGCCCATGCCCCTCCCCGGCTTCCCCAAATGAAAACCAAACCAGGCTGTCTGCAAGTTGGACCTTGGACAAAAATGAAAACCATGACCGGTGGCTGGAGATAACAGTGGCGAGAGCCGAGAAAAACAAAGTGATCTGTGAGTGAACGGGTTTGTTTTGCTGGCTGCACTAGATCAGGGGGTTCAGAGGTCTGCAGTGTCCTAGCTGCTGCAGGAAAGCCTTCCTTCCTGACTCAGAAAGAGATGCTGTGGCTGGGGAGTGAAGGTGGGGAAGGGAAGCGAGACCCAGATCCCCTTGCCCGGGAGGGTGGTCTCACCGTTTTTCTTGCCTTCAGCTGGCAAGGCCCACTCGTAGGCACGCTTCAAGGAGCTGTAGATGGAGAACTGGAACCCCGCGTAGGGGAAGATGGCGATCAAGGTGGGGTTCAAGCCTTTGTAGAAGACCAAGGGGCCTTCGCTCCTGTACATGGTCACCACAGCATCTCGCAGGGTTTTATAGACCTGGACACGACATGTGTGATGACAAACGAGGTTATTTCAGCCCAAGAAGGCAGCCCACCAGGTATATTTCCCCGAGCTTAGAAACCAGCTACCAGGAGTGTTACTTCTTCTGCCAGGATGACAAAGAAAATGCTGGACCAAAATTCCAAGGGTGGGATTGCCCAGCGGCTCCCCTTTTGGCTGTTTACACCATGGGCTTCCCAAGGAGTGCGCAGAAATGTGCAGGACTGCGAAAGGCGTTAAGTCCACCCTTGGATGATCCGTTTTATACTTTACAGCATGCGTGCCTGCGTGCTCAGTCGCATCTGACTCTTCTGTGACCCCGCAGACTTTGGCCAAAAGGCTCTTCTGTTCATGGGATTTCCCAGGCAAGAATACGGGAGTGGGTACCCATTTCCTTCTCCAGGGGATCTTCCTAACCCAGGGATTGAACCCAAGTCTCCTGCATTGGTAGGCGGATTTTGTATCATTGAGCCACCCAGGAAACCTGTGCATATACTTAACCCTTCTTAAACTGTCAACAGGCAATCTTTATGCATGGAGATTGCGGAGAGTTTTTTTTAAGTATACTTCTGTTCGACATATATTCTATTTTTTGCAGTGGTCCAGCGGGGCTGACTCTGCCTGCCTATGGGTACCGCAAGGCACTGCACAGACCAAGGGTGACTGATGGAAAAGTCGCCCCAGGCAGGGAGGCCCTCTTCACACTTGCTCCCAGATGCTGGCAGCTATACCGAAGGCTTCCACCCTCGGAACCTGCACGAAAGGGCTGGGCCTCACAGGAAGGCCATTTGGTACTTGTTTTCTTTCCCCGCCAGGTTCTGTGTCCCCTCAGGAGGCTCTGAGCACCCTGTCTGGTGCCGAGAGCAGTCACAGTTTCAGGGACAGGCTGAAGGACCTGAAGACCCCCGTCCCCGTCCCCCAGCTTTGTTCCCTCTAAGGAAAAGGGCCCCCACCCCTCACCCGCCCAACCCTCGGGCACCCCTTTTCTGACCTGGCCACTCACCCTGGGCTCACCCTGAGCTGCAAAGCGGGTGCGCAGCACGTCCACGGGGTGCACAGTGAGGGTGGCCACGCAGGCGGACAGGCCGCCGCACAAGAAGTGCACGTAGAAGTCACGGGCATCGCGCACGCTGGCCCTGTGCACCAGCTCGGTCAGCACTTCAAACGACAAAAACTGCAAGGGTGCGTGACAGCGTCATGGATAAACACCCCCGGACACCTCCCCTCCACCCCGTGACCAGGCAGGGCCCGACCCAGGGACCAGGAGACCTCTCCTTGAGCAGGGACAGAATTCAATAAACGTGGAAACTTGTAGCCTCTCACACCCTGAACAGAGCCAAACACCCAAGGGTTAAAGAAATAGGCGAGGGGGAGTTTTTATACCAGAAAATTCTACTCAGAAACTAGACTGTGAGTTGTCCAAAGTAACAGACAAGAGTTCATGATTTTAGGATTATCTCTGACATCCTTCAGCAGCTCAGAACTGGAGGGTGTTTTATTAAGTGGCTGAACAGTGAATTGTATATTCAGCTCCTGGCATCATTCTATCATCTTGGATGCAAGTTAAAATAAACAAGCAAATAGGGGAGCAAAAAAAAAAAGCAGGAAAGAAAGAAAACTCTACTCAGGAATTCCCTGGTGGTCCAGTGGTTAGGACTCAGTGCTCTCGCTGCCAGGCCCTGGGTTCAATCCCTGATTGGGGAACTAGACTCCTGCAAACCATAGAGCGAGACCAAACAAAGAAAAAAAAAAAGAAGAAAGAAAATTCTACCCATCACTTAGTTTCCTGACAACTGAGAAAAGATGGTCATCGTCTGATTCTAGGCTGGGGACCCTTTCAATACAGCGAGCTGTGGCCCTAGAGCTGAAATTTCATTGGGAGAATTCCATACATTCCATATTCCATGGTGGAAGCCCCCCTTGGGTTCAGATCCTTTTCCATCAAACTCACGGAAGTTCAGGGTGCTGAGAGCACACGTCACTGCGTGAACCCACAAGCATGCAGCATCCGCGCTGGCTCAGGGCTAGAGCTGCAGGGCACGTGACCTGAGCGACCCCTGTGACGTCACAGGAAGAGCAGGCAGGGACAGCTTTGTTGCTGGCCGCCCGGCTGGAAGTCCTGGCTCGGCCACTCTCCACCTAGCGACTTTGGCTGGGCTAATTACTTTTCCTCTCTTGGCCTCCGTCTTCTCATCCGTAAAATGGGGGTGACGACAGAGCCTAGCGAAGGACTGCTGTGAGATGGTGGATGTGACATGCTTTGCCCAGGCCCCCAATTAGCATGGTGCAGGGTTGGCTATTTCATCACCACCTCTGCACAACTACGGACCACACACTGCGGGTAAACTGGCACTCAGCTGAACAAATGCGTGACTGACAGACAAGAAGCCTGGATCCTAACCCTAGCCTCGCCACCTATGGGCTGTGTGGCCTCAGGCAGCTCGCTCAACCTCTCTGTGAGCCACGAAACACCTGCTCCACCTACCTCACAGTGCTGCTGGGAAGTTCAAAGGAAGCACAGACGTGAAAATGCTATTTTGAAAAATAAAAAGTGTTTGTACTGCCATCTGCCAAGCCCCTCTGGGCCTGGCATCAAGACAGTCTTCTGGACACAATGCTTCATGTTCTGTGAGTGCTAAGTCCCCAGGTTTGGGCAACATGGGGAAGGGGATGCTTCTGGTCCATGTCTTCAATTTGCCAGGTAGCTTCCCCACCAAGGCGAGTGGGAACTGTGTGACCACCTCCCGTTGCCCTACCCTGGGCGGCCCAGGTACCCGCCCCACCACCCCAGGTTCCCCCATTGTGCAACATGACCCCAGGGGCCTGGCCGCTTCCCCTGCCACCTACTTGGACAGCTCCATAGCCTATCGAGAGAAGCTGGGCTGGGATGTGCCCTTTCCAGAACGCTGTTGGGCCCTCCTCTTGCAAAATCTGTCTCCCGGCCTGTAGGATTCCGTGGTATTTTGCATTGGGGTCACTGAGAGACAGGCGCTCAATCTGAAGCTAGGTATCAAAATGGAAATGGTCAGGATGATGGGGTTTGTGGGGGGTGGGAAGGAGGAATTTCAGAGATGGCAATAAAGCGCTTCTCCTTCAAAACACTCCAAGCTCCAGGAACTGCTTTGGCAAAGAGAGTGAATTGGTTCTCTAGCTCATTACATGGATGAAACAGAGGAAAGGGTACCTGGAAGCGGATTTTGATGACATCCAAGGGGCTGATCAGCACCCGAGTGACAAGTCCGGACACAGACCCAGCCACGGCCACCTCAAGATTGGAGATATTCCTGTCCTCTGCTTTGGGGTCATAGCCCACCATCCCTGCCTCTGACCCATACAATGTCCATTGGCTTCAAGCTAAACAGGAGAGACAAAGAATAAACACTAGAGCAAGTGCTTAGGGTCCCTGCTCACACCCCAGAGCAGCCCTCCCGAAACAACCCCCCAAAGCAGAGCCCACATCCCCTTTCTCTCCTTATCCTGCTTTATTCTTCTTTAGAGCATTTATGTACTGGACATTGATTCTATACATCTGTTTCTTGTCTCTCCTCCCCACTAGAATTCGAGCCACGCTTTTGCAAAAAAAAAAAAAACAGCAAGATCTACATATGCTCAGTTGGTAAAGAATCCGCCTGCAAAGCAGGAGACCTGAGTTCGATCCCTGGGTTGGGAAGATCCCCTGGAGAAGGGAAAGGCTACCCACTCCAGTATTCTGGCCTGGAAAACTCCATGGACTGTGTAGTCCATGGGGTCACAAAGAGTCAGACACAACTGAGCGACTTTCGCTATACCAACATATAAAGAATAGGGGGAAAGTCTGCAAGGACACACACACACCAACAGGTTGGTGAGGTTATCTGTGGGGGGAGGGTTGGCAAGGGAAGAGGGAGGACAGATCTCCTTTTTTCTATATGGATTGAATTCATTATGCCCCTCCCTCCCCGCCTCCCAAGCCCCAGCTAAAACTAAATATAATTTCCAAAGAGACTTCAGGGCTTCCCTGGTGGCTCACTGGTAAAGAATCTGCCTGCCAATGCAGAAGACATGGGCTTGATCCCTGATCCGGGAAGACTGCACATACCGAGGAACAGCTAGGCTGGCGCACCACAATTTCTGAGCCTGTGCTCTAGAGCCTGGGAGCTGCAACTCCTGAGCCCACGTGCTGCAACAACTGAAGCCCGAAGCCCTAGAGCCCGTGCTCCACAAGAGAAGCCACGGCAGTGAGAAGCCCACACCCGGCAATGAAGAGCAGCCCCTGCTCGCTGCAAGCAGAGAAAGCCCATGTGCAGCAATAAAGACCCAGCACAGCCAAAAATTAAATATATAAACTAAAAAATTATTTTAAAAAAAGGAGAGAGAGACTTCAGAATTAACCTAGTTCTTGAATACCTTGTGGCAAGGCTGGTAAAGAATCCGCCTGCAATGCGGGAGACCTGGGTTTGATCCCTGGGTTGGGAAAAGCCCCTGGAAAAGGGAAAAGCTACCCACTCTGAGTGACTGAGTGACTTTCGCTTTCGCTTTTGAATACTTTCAGGAACAGGAGAGTCAGGGTGCACACAGTGCACCCCACTTCTCCTTTCATCCTTCCTCAGCCCCAAGTCCTCCCTTTTCTGAAACTACCAAAATACCAAAATTCCTCCTTAAAATTAACAAGGCACATCCGTGGGGCTCGACTGGCAACGTATTGTAAAATAATATCTTATTCAAGGTCTAATGGGGGACTTCCCCGGCAGTCCAGTGGTTAGGACTCGGCACATCCACGGGCGGGGCCCAGGTTGATCCCTGACTGGGAACTAAGATCCTGCAATCCTTGCATTGTGACGAGAAAAAAAAAAAAAAAAAAAAAACAATGGTATGAAACCTCCCAACCCCTGCCAGGAATGTGCCTGCCCCTTGGTAACTTTTCCCCAGACCCTCAAAAGAGACCTCGGTTTTCCCATCGAGTTCTCTTTGGTGCTAACTCAATCTGCAACTCCCCAGGCACCTGTAAGGAGCAGTTTAAATGTGAAGCAGGTGACTGAGAGGCACCGTCTCTCCACAGGTTACCCAGAGGCTACTTGGGTCACTGACACTGACAGTGTCAGTTCCCTGCTGTCAGGGAGGGAAGGTGGCATTTCCATAAATAAGTAGCTCTGCATAGCTGGTCATAATCTTAAACCTCAGATCAAGAAGCCTGAGCTCAAATTTCTGACTCGCTCATGTACCATGGGCAGGTTTATTTAAGCTAGGCTCAGTTTTTCTTCTGGAAAATGGGAATGATGGCGGCCCCACCTAGTGAGATTCCTGGGAGGATCACACAAGATACTATATATGATAAGCTCTGTCAAAAAGGTAAAAGTCTTATACACGTGAAAGGGCTTGCTGAATACAATTCATTGGTGGCCTTACTTTTTCTGCTTGCTCGGAATTTTCTTCTTGTACCAAAAAGCCTTGCTATTTATTTAGAGACAAAATGAACATGAAACATTATAAGCATGATATAATAAAGCATCAGAAGATGGTGGGGTGCGCCTTGGTGTGAATAAGGGCAGGTGTGTGTGGGGGTGGGGTGGGTGTGTGTCTGCTTTCGCCACCCCGTTTTCACTGCGGGAGCCCCTGGTGTTCAGATATGCAGGAGCCCCGCGGTAAGCGCGTGTGCCCCTGAGCCCACGTGCTCAGCAGAGGATCTCTGCAGATGTCCCCGCGTGTGGACACCGGTGTCCACACATGCTCCAGGGCGTGTGTTTTTACCCCGGGTCCAAGAAAAAGCCCACGAGGCGTGCACCCGCGTGCGCAGACAGGTGCCCCGGGTGTGTCCACGGTTTCTCTTCCTGCGTCCCTGAAGATGCTTCTCAGGTCAGACACGTCACGTGTGGGTACGGCCCCCGCCCCCGCGTGAGTACCTGCGCCAGTGATCGCCCCCAGGGAATGAGAGTGCGGGTTTCCGAGCGGACAGCGAGAGGGCGGAGGCAGAGATCACTCACCAGGATGAGAGGGCGCGGCTCCGGTCGCTCTTCTCTCCCTCCTCGCGCAGTCTAACAGTAAAAACTTAACTGAGCTTGGCGGTAACTGACGGGCTTCCGGGCCAATCACAGCACAGCTTCCGACAGACGCTAAACCAATGGTTGTACTGGCGTCTCCCGATCAACGCCTATTGCAAGGGGTCGCTGGGTAATGTAGTCCTCCGAGACGAAGGCCGGCCCCCTGCGAGGCGCAGAGCCTACTGGGAAATGTAGGCCCTTGGCGCGCGCGTGCTCAAACGTCTCCCCCTTGTCGGAGGGAGGCGGGTCCAGAAGCCGGCCTGAGCCGGTAAAGGTCGCCGCGCCGAGTGGGGCGTGTGCCTAGGGTCAGACTGCTGGCGGGCGGAAGTTTAGGGCACGGTGAACTTGACCCGCATTCCTCAAAACTTTCATAGTTCCAGTACCCGGATACTCTAAACTTGGAAAAGATGGCGGGAAGTTTAGCAAAAGCCTGGAGGAAAGAACAGATGAGTCTTTAAGACCAGGACGAGGACGGCAAAAACACAGAGATTTTGTTTGCCCCCAGGGTTTATTATGAGTGGAAGGGTTAGTCGCTCAGCTCATTATGAAAATAATGTAAAAATACATAGACACAATATAGACAATGTAGAAATGAAGGGGAAATGACTCATCCTACCACTCTCACCCAAGCAGCATCAGCATTTTGCAGGACAGTCTTTCTTCCCGATTTTCAAACGGTGTTTTTCACATTAGCGCAATAATTTTGATGCAGAGTTTAAAAACATTTTTATTGCACAATGTAAAACTGTTGTAGGGAACTTCCCTGGCCGCCCAGTGGTTAAGACTCCACGCGCTTCCAATGCAGGGAGCATGCGTGAACTAAGATCTGGCACCTGGGGAGCAAGCAAGCAAGCAAATAAATTCATACATATACAAAAGTAGAGAGAACAGCCCAATGAACTATCATAGAGTCTACTCAATTTCAACAATTAACCAACTCCTGGTCAATCTCCTCTTCCTCTATATCTGCACCTAAGTGGTGCTGTTACTGAATCTAATAATTCATTGATTCCCTAATACCTTACAAAGGTTATTGATCAATGAGTCTTTTTATTATTATCATTATGAATACATATTTTATGTCTATCATTATGAACACATAGATTTGTGTCTATCAGTCTGAACACTGTATTACTGTGTGTCCTTTTTCAATCCACTGTGATTTCCATCCACAGTAATTATTATCCTAATTGATACTCATATTTTCCCATCGTTGGCCAGTGGACGCTTATTTAAGTTGGAACCTGAATCTTTTTTTTTTTTTTGGAACCTGAATCTTTTTGACATACTGACTAGTTTCCTTGTTTTCTGGCATGACAAAGGGTTCTAGGCTCCCCACAACTTTCTGCACAGCTTGATTGAGGTGTAACAGACATACAGGTGAGACATTTCCAAAGTGAACGATTTTATGCTTTGACCCGTGGTGTACATTACCATGAGAGAGTGAGCATACATCCATTGCCTTAAGCGACTCCTCTTGCCTCTTTACGATCCCTCGCCCTTGCCCTCTCTTCTCCCTTCCCAAGCAATCTCTGATCTGCTTTCCGTTAGTTTGCATTTTATAGACTTCCATATAAATGGAATCACACATGACGTTCTTTTTGTCTGGCTTTCCCTCATCATGATTATCTAGAGATTCATCCATTTGTGTGTATTATTTTTTAATATTATTATTATTTTTTAAATATTTATTTTTGGTTGCGCTGGGTGATTGTTGCTGCCCGAGGGCTTTCCCTAGTTGCGGCAAGCGGTGGCCACTCTCAAGTTGTAGCTCGGGCTTCTCGTTGCAGTGGCTCCTCTTGTGGAGCACCAGCTCTAGAGTGTGGGGGCTCCAGTAGCTGCTACACGTGGGCTCAGTAGCTGTTTTCACAGGCTTAGTTGCCCTGCAGTAAGTGGGATCTTCTGCGACCAGGGATGGAACCAGTGTCCCCTGCATTGTAAGATAGAGTCTTAATCACTGTATCAGTAGGGAAGCTGTGTGTTTATTAATTGATGTCCTTTCATTGCTGAGTAGTATTCTATTGTATGGGTATACAATAATTTTTTTTTAATCCATTCACCTGTTGATGGACACTTGGGTTGCTTCTAGTTTTTGGTTCTTACAAATGAAGCTGCTATTGATAGGGACAGAGTAGGAGAATGAAATAGTTTCGAAATCCTGCTAGGGGATAAAAGACAGAAAGGGAATTTTAAAGGAATTTGGGAGACTGTTGTAAGCTAATAACTTCTCAGGAAAAGAATCCAGTAACCTAGCAAAAAAGAAATGCAAGTAGGTGAAGAGGTTGTCTGAAGAGGCTTT